TTGAAAGGAAAAGAAAATAATGAAAATAATGAATTATTTAAGATGTATTTACTAATGTTTATAAAAAGGAAGCCTTTTAAGTTTTTATATTTAAGCCAATATATACACTATTTTAATTGTATTTTATTCACCAGTTTAAACAGTTGGATTATTCGTGATGTTAGTATATTGCATAAGAAAGTTTTATTTACTTATTAAAGATATATAATTCATATTAGTTAAATACCACCATTCATTTAGTTTCAATTTCTTTGTTTATTTTTCCTGATGTATTATAATTTTTACAAGCTGGGATGTCTAAATATGGATGGCCCAGAATGTTGAGCATTTGCCTCAAACTACAACACAATTAAAGGTTCGAAAATAATAGAAATCGCTACCCAAATCACTTTTGGTGAATTTCATACCTTTATCGGCTGTGAGATCAGAATGTCTTGGCAGAGTGAAACACAAATAGATTTCAACCACTGCTCTGCTTTCTGTGCACCGAAGTTGGCTGCCACACCGATTGTCAACCACATTGAAATCCCGATGGCTAGAAAAGATAGCGACCACCCAATATACAAACACCACCAAGGAAGTGGCTTTTCTTTCTTTACTTTACTCTTTCTCTTACTCATCTCACGCTCGTTCATGTCAATCTTGGTGACTTCCACTTTTTCTTGCTGATATATCACAGCACCCTCTACCGGTATGTCATTCGACTTTTCCTTTGTTAAATGCAATCGTGAAACATGTTGAATTTTTGGCTCAATGCGAGATGGTTTCTTCTTGTAGTACTTACTTGATGGTTTGTTATGTTTGAAGCACGATTGATTACGTTGGCGAGGACGGGATAGCCGGAACAACTGGACAATTCCCAGATTGATAGGGAATACCATGAGGCTACTAATTACCCCTATTGTGATTTCCTTGACAGATATTTCAAAAGAGCCAATTTTAATCGCATCATCTTTAGATCCACCAGTTTCATCATTTGGTTGGTAAAGCAAAATATTAGCCATCATTGTGCAGAACAACAGGGATAGACAACACGTAGCTCGCTGGCATCTTGTGAATGTACTTTTAGCGGGCCGCAGATAGACAGATAACCATATATGGGCATCACTCAAGTTACGCCGGGTTCTGCTATGAAACAGGTGTCCAAAGCTTGTGATCTCACTAAGACTGGCTGTCGGGATAACTCTTTCAATCTAAATGAAATTAATTATAAATAATGATAAAATAAACAATAATAAAATCATTAAACAACAAACAAATTTGATTGGACAATCAATTGCAATATTGGTGAGCAATACCCTTGTACATCAATTATGCTGAATATTTGATTTGATATGATTTTCAATTTATTCGAGAATATTATACCTATCATTACCGGTATATACATTTTCCTTGTGCTTTCCCAGTCTCAGGTCTTTACATAATTAAGCTGTCAACCTAGTCGCCAAATTTTAGATCAGTTATTATTCCTGGTCCTGTCCAGAAAAATGAGCTCTCCTCATGGCTACTGTTTATATGATTCTGTAAATCTATTCTTTATATGTAGAGTTTTTATAAAGGCGTCTGTTATACGTTCAATCTTGACGAAGGCCATATCACGGAGTCAAAATCATGTTATACCATCTTTTTTGTTTTCAATACAACATGTTATGATTACTAATCACTGACCTGTTCGTCGTCTTCTTCCAAGCAAAACCACTTGTCTACCATAAAGTAGTAACTACGGTTTGTCTGCAGATCCTTGACGGTTACTCGGCTAAGGAACCATTTAGCATTCCCCGAATTATCATGCCAGATCCGTAGGTGAACCAAAGTGCCAAGGCACGAGGGCACAGTCATTAGAAAAGAGTCGATACTACTCCGCTGCAGGATTGAACGCTTTTTGTCTTTGACGGCTCGAATCCCAGTCTGACCTTGCTCGCCATTCAAGATGAAAAATACGTTTGCCGATGTGCCGGAGCCCATCCGAACCCCGGTAAAGAATGTTATCTCGTAGTTATAGTAGTGGCAGGGATCATTGTCTATCATTGGGCATACTCCGGCCTATAGAATTTATATATAAAATCACTACATTTAAAAACCAAACTTATATTAAAAGCTGCAAGAATTATTACATACATACATTGGTGAAATATATTTGTAAACATGACAATCAGGAAGGTGAAGCTAAAGAATTTGCATGCGATAAAATCCAGTGCCTGGTCATTTAATTATAATTTCAACATTAGTTATAACCAAAACATCAATGAGAAACAGTGCATGCAGTGTCAAAGGTGTTCAAAAGAGGCGACAGGTTACCTTTAACGCATCTCTCTTATCTTCTTTTCTTGCCCACAATATCACCACAAAGTAGAAACAAAGGCAGCTGATTAGGAAGGCAAACACTACAGGATTTTCTGCTAGCTGACTCAGGCCTACAGTCAAGTCGATGGAGTTGAAATGCACTGCCAGACCACCACTGAATGTTGCTACACCACTTTCTAGTGCTTCACTATCGTCAGTCGACCGTTTTCTTCTTGTCCCCACATCCGCAGATGAAGAATCCGGCGAAACCAGTAGACAGAAGCACTGCGTTTGCTTATCTGTGGTTTTGTTACCAACCTGTTTGTAAAGTTAATCGTTAGAATACTGTGTATTTCAAGCAGTTATAAGTGAGGCCGGTGTCCCCGGGTTCGACCAGCGTGAATTCTCACTGATTTTGTACTTATCTACAGCAATTCCGGTACCAAGGTAGGGAATTTTCCCCCGGCCCAAAGTCCCAAGTAAGTCTGCACCGGGTGCATCTGGAATGAATTGATACCTTTCGAAAATGTCTGACTGTAATAGGTTTTCTAATTGTAGGTCCTATGCCATTTTAATAACCTAAAATCCCCTCTTCTGAAATCCTCTGGAATCTTGATTCAAGGTTCAAGAAAAGTTGGTCTAAAAATACAGAAAATTGACTGCACAAATGAAAATGAAAATGAAATGAAAAACTGTAAAAAATGTTAAAAGTAGCTAAAAAAAAGTAGATAATTCAAAAGTTAAAACCTTAATAAAAAATCTTATAATTATTTAAACATTATGAACATTAAACATTAAAAATTTCAGTATTGCAGCAGATCATCGTTTATATATCCCTGAACAAAAACATGCCTTTCACTCTCATCTTTCTAGCTTTCCATCTCTCTCCAACTTTTAAACCACCCGACGGGGGGTCCAAGTCGGCAAAACCCCCAAAAAATATGACAATTTAAGGGTTTCAAAGGCTTATTTCATTGATTTTAGAGTCTATTATTATGTAGAAAATATATATATTTTTTTAACCCCGACCCAGTGGGTGCCCACCCCCACACCCCGCTGGTGCCACCCCTGCTGAAACATCATTCCTTTTACATGTGTTAATCCTTGCTTATTTGATTTCCATTTATTCTCTTATAAAGTAAGTGATTAGTATGTATGCCTTATAATTTTGAATTTATTTGATATAACAGATAGTTTTTATATGCATAGCTGCATTGGACATCTACTTGTATAGTGTTATGGCAAATAATTAAATGTCTTAAAGTTTTAGCGTACTGAAGAAAGAATAATGATGGTCAGCTTGCTTATTGCGAGGACACAGATATTCAAGCTTTATTAATATTATAGATTGAGTAATAATTGTTTACACAAAATCGGGGTTAATTTAATGTGAAATGACTTACTTCGCATCCTTTTTGCTGCCAGATGTCTCCACTTCGATAGTAACAGGCAGATGTAAATACTCCCATTACAAACCGAAATTGTGTAGGCTTCTTATAATAACCATTGCCAGTTTCAATATCACTTTTTACGCAGATAGATACATCAGCAGCAGAGTATATAAACCTTTAAGTAATAAATAATTTAAGGTTGTTTATTTTTTATTATTAGATACGTATCTTTAACAGGTAAGTATCTTACAAAATTATATCCGCTTGGGACACATAATAAATATTATCAGGTTTAATATTGAATACAGTAACAACACCTGATTATACATCAATGATCCAATAAATGTGGTGATTGTCATCAATCATTAGTAGAACGTAATTGTAAGAATATTAAGTTAAGTAAAAATAATCTCTTCTGCAAATTGCAATTACTTGTCTTGGATACGTATTTATTAAATTTGTTATTTGTTTCGAACTTTTAAAATTGTTTAATCTGAAAAAAAGTTCAAAATATTGATTTTGGTGTATAATTGTTCATCTCAGGAATGATTTGACACTTACTGGGAAAGTTCGGTATTTGAAAAAAGGCACGTGTTCTGGCCTTCTCTCGTCGATGTTAATGTCAAATTCCATGGAATATCTTGATAGTTTTGATAATCGGTGACATTGGAATTATTATGTGTAGTTAACCTTTGTTTTAGCGTACAGCTTAGATCGTAGTTATCTACAATGATAATCATAATATTTCATTTATCTCGTAAAAGAAAATTTTGTTGTATTATATTCATATGTATTCGTCATTCAGCCAAACATGTACAATTCTAATAACAATGAAATAACAAAATTGTAAAAGCAACATCAATTCAAATGTAACAAATTCTACAATATTACTTTAAAAAGCTAGGTTTGATGGACAATATAACTCAAAAGCCTATCAACTCAGTCAAGATGTATAAATTCAAATCATGATGGGAAGCAGTTTTTACATGAATACAATCAGACTATTTCTAAAATGGGCTACGGTTTGAAGACATTGGCATACTGCCAAGAAAGGTTACAGGTATAAAACCGCTTCCCTTTTACCGTTAAGTCTGAGAGATTGATTGCCGAACTATGGCTGTATGTGGTTGTCATATTTATGTGGCTACGAAGTTTGCCTCCAAATCTAAGTGTCAATTATCATGTATCCACAAATTGACTTGTATTCTACGCACAATGTTTATTCAAATGTTCAACAAAAATAACTTTTAAATATTCAAAAATAAATCACAAAGAAAATTGTAAAAATCTAACCTTCGAAAGCACTTTCGTTGATCTTGAGGAAGATATCAAAGTTGTAATCGTACGTCGTGTTGAGTGACATGTCCTCATTGCTGTAAGCCATTACCTCAACAGTAACTGCCGAGTGTCTTTTCACGTCTTAAAAAAACATGTTTCTAACAATAGTTACATGTGAATTATCATTTTCGCTTAATAACTGTTCAGATATACAGCAGTCGTTAACAATATTTTAACACAGATCCTATAGGGCCCACCAGACTTTTGTTCATAGGCTACCTTCATTTTTATGGATGTATTTCGACCGACACCTTTGCAGGATTGTGTACATTATTCTATATTTATTCACCTATATTAATATTGTATTGCTTGTTTGTGAAATCAGTAGAAGTATGTTATCAATTTTACAAGAGAACAAAGTTGTAGTGATGTTCTGACTTGAATGGTTATATGTCTCAATTTTGCTGTAGTGACTGTTGTTGAGGATGATTTTATCTTTTTAATTTTGTTACTGTAATTGTCTTCTCTGTAAGTGTTGCCTTTGTTTAGTTAAGTGGTTATATTTCTTGTTGTCACAGGTGGTGCCAGGACTTTCTTCAAGGGGATTTTACGGGGGGTTGGGCGTCGCTTAAAATCTCTTGAGAGTGTCCCGAAAAAAATTTTTCTCCCCAACGGGAAGGCTGCGCCACCCCTGGTTGTTGTAGTGGCTGTGGTTGGTGTTGTCGTCGTAGTTGTTGTTATAGTCGTTGCTGTTTTCTCTGTTGTGGTCATTATTTTTGGCTTTATTTCCAACATTGTGGTTGTGGTTGTCATCGTTGTTGTTGTCACTTTTGCTGTTGTCATCATTGTTGCTAATGTTGCTGCCACTGTTATCGATGTTATCGGTATTTTCATAGTTGTTGGCGTCCTCACCACCGCGGTTGCATTCGCCGTCACCATCGTCATCAATGTTGTTCTTCTTTTTGTTTTCATCGTCTCAGTCGTCGTTGTTATCACAGTCGCTATCATTATTATAATTTAAATTATATTTATCACATTTATCATTATTAGTTTTATTAGTCCCCAATGGAATTATGTTTTATTAATCCTCAATAGAATTGACTTAAACATTGCACAAATTAGCTTCACATACCGCTAACTTTTTGACAAGACAACAAGCCATTTTCAGTCTCATGAAAGCTGTACTTATCGTCGAACCGACTACTAGTGTTTGAGTCTAGAGCGTCTGTATTTAGTGTGATCATAAACTCAAATGGCACATTTGGGTTAGCTGGAATTACAGATTGACCAGTATCATTTTTCATGTCAAGTGAGATCATAGACCCAAGTGCAACGTTCGAGTCCTCCAGTCCGTACGGATTGTTGGTTCTAGCAGTGACCTAAACAAATAATAATACAGTATACAAAAAAAACTAAAATTATACAGTCATAATGAAGAGGACGAGTTGAAATGAGGTTTTGTGTTTGTAAACATGACAATATCAGCCCAAACTATATATATATACCGTATATATACCGTATATATATATATATATATATATACTACCTTTATTCGGCTCTTAAGGGGAAACTCTGTACGTACAGTACAGTACGCTGTCTCTTATACACATCTTATATATATATATATATATATATATATATAGTACATGATAGGATTTATTTCCTACTATATGAAACTGAAACACTAAAACTATCAAAAATATCACTATGAATCATGTGTTGTGTTTTGCGCACGAAACTATACCTGAACTTGCAATTCTGTAGACGTATCATTGCCATCACCAAATAAATCTACAATATCCGGGAGTATCATTATCGGCTGATTACTTTGATCTGTAAACGGCGCCGTTCCTGTAAAAATATATTTATTAACTCACAGTTTGCATAATAATTCATGTTCCTCTGGTATATTAGCATGGTATTTTAACTTTATGCAACGTATTGAATTGGCGCACTATCTTTGATAATGTAAATATTAAAGGTAATGACTTACTGTACGATTCACAGGTTAAGTGCACTTAATTTCAAAATAAATAAACGCACAAACCAAATTCTACCAAATTCAATATAATATTTCGTGAAGGTTTCAAAGACATAGTCAAACTGACATTTACAAATACGGACGATTACAATGTTCAGATTCAACAAAACAACAGAAATGTGATTATTATATTTATAATGTAATTGTTCTCATGGTGTTTGATTAAAAAACAATTATTATTATTATTATTATTATTATTATTATTATTATTATTTATTACTTTTATCATTTTTATTATTATCTTATTATTTTTTTTCTCATGTGTTTGATCAAAAAACAATTATTATATAATTATTATTTATTTTTTATTATTATTATTATTATTATTATTGTGTGAATTAGTTAAGGACATTAAAAAAGTTATTTATTATTTACTATTTATTATTTTTATTATTATTATTACCATTATTTTTATTATTATTATTATTATTATTATTGTGAGAATTAGTTGAGGAAATTAAAAAAGCGCAATAACAACTAACAAGCGACCATTACAGAATGAGGACTATGCTTATAAATTAGTTCTATCTTTGAGAATACATATTTGAACACAAACCATAAGTTGGTTCCTAACCACCCAAGCTACCGTTTCACTAAATATATAATTTAATCGTAACATTACCGTTCATGAGAGTTGTTGTAAACATTTTTGAAATAGTAACTGCAACCGTCTGAGATGCAATCTTAATATCACTTTGCCCAGTCACCATTAGAGTTGTCACACTGTCTGTCATGAACTGAATTACCTTTGACCCAGTGTCGTTTGACCCTGACTGATCATGTGAAAAATGAAATACGATACAATGATAGTAAATAGAAAGTTAACTTTGATTTATCTATCAAATCAACATAACAAATTAAAATTCTCATGTTATATTAAATCAGCATATATCAAAATTAAATACCGTTTAAAGTTACATTTTAACTTTTAGCAAATATTTAAATACAGGTAATTAATAATGAATTTCATTGTACATAGTTTATTATTACTTACTTCGGTATCATATTTAGAAAAGAATTATTTTATAAATAAAACTTACATCATCGTTGTTCCTTAAACGCCCTGAATTTAAAAAAAAATCATTGGTAACCACTTTGTTAACAGTGAGCAATTCATATTATGTACTAACAAAGAACTTAAACAGGTCTTTGCCACAACTGACTAAATCAATAGGCTCAACAAAATGGAACCTGCGTTTATTCTTCATTTGAACTTCTCATACAATAAACTTTATAATGTTTAATCTATCTTACAATTTTATTATTTTTCAATATGGCATCCATGTTACTTGTACAACATAATATATTTTTATTTTAAAATAATAATTATAAAAATTAAATTTTGAAATGTAAATATTTGTAAGGAATATTTATGATTTTGACGTTTTAGTATGTTTTAACTATAGAAATATTTCTATTAATTTAGTGCAAATGCTACAGAACGATATTACTAATTAAAATTTATTTTGAAAATTTATTTGATGTCTTTAATAAGTACGTTTTCTGGGGTGGATGCAAAGGAGGGAGGGTGCAGACAGTGCGATTGCACCCCCCGGCTCCCACCAAATTGAATTAAGAAAACAAATGTTGTATTGCATTGATGATATGAATTACCGGTAGGATTTTTAAGGTATGAGAGTGCAATTTCTGGGCACCTAGAGGTCCATATTCCCAAAGTTATTTTTAAAATGTTGTGCACTCTGTTGTCCAAATTCTGCATCTGCCCTAGGATTTGGTTTACATTTTGTTGTTTTTAATGGTCAAACAATTCTTCAGTGACGTATGCATACTTACCGAGCGAGTTGAATGCTAATTTTGCAGATTCCTCTATCTCTTCCGCAGATGCACCATCAACGAAGGTTATGGTTTTAGTGAAAGTTCCAACTAAATAATCGACAAAGCGCTGTGAAATAATCAGCATAACAACATCAATATCATTATTGATAAGAAAAATAGGTAGCTCTCTTCAAATTAGTTAAAGTTTGCCATGAGCTAACAGAGTTAAAATTCAATTACGTACAGTACAGTACGTACAGTACAGTACGTACATTAAAATTCATTACGGAACAGTAGAGAAAATCCGATCACAAAGGACAAAATAAACTAAGTATCCACTGGAAAAAATCCCAATATCTGCAGACGGATCCATTTCGGTCTTCCAGGCCTCATCATTGCAACAAGGTTACAGACAAAGTCAAAACGTTTGACCAGCTTAGGCAGGGCCCAAACTAGCCCCACATGTAGCCCCACTAATAAACCCAGAGCCAAACCAAGGCAAGATATATACACAGCCCAGGTGTGAATGCAAATAGTGGAAAACAAGCTATGCGTCTACTCGATATGCAATGTTAAACGACAGAAGACTCAGTTCCAGTAGATACAGAGAATGTCCTATGAAATTCTTACGAAACAGCACTAGTCCATGAATTTGTGGACAAAGTCGGAGATCTAAAGATAAAATCTCTCTGCATCAATGAGATAATCCAGTGTTTGAGCACTCTTGGCATGGTATTACGAGTGCTTTTAAACTGCCTTGTTACAAGCTAAGGTTCAATCTCAAATTTATCTGAGCTGCACTGATGAGTCCTTAAAGGACGAAACAACGTTGTATGCAGATTGATTTAACTTATATACGCACGCACGCACGCACGCACGCACGCACGCACGCACGCACACACACACACACGCACACACAGACACATATATATATCTGATAAGCCCAAATTTCATGTAAAAAAAATAATTGAAAATTATTCAATGAATTAATGAGAGTTTACCATAGCCACTGGTGTAATTTCTTCAACCTGCATAGTTAGTAAGTCTAACGCAGAAGACATCTGGTTCATAGAACCCAGTGTTTTTGCTGGGTTCAAAGTTGACATTGCCCGTAAGAGTTCTTCTCTTGTTTTTTTTTGCAGTTCTTTTATGGTACCATTGCTAATGCCTTTTTCAACTACAAAACAAAAGAATTAATTAAAATTAAAATAGGTAATGCAATATCAAAAATATTTTTATAGATTATTTTATATATAGATATTTTTAGAAATTATACATTTCCATTAATCACTTTCAAAATTATTATTTATTATTATTAATTATTATTATTATCATTAATATCATTATCTGTATTATTATTATATTAATATTATTATTATTATCATACTGATGATGATGATCATTATCATCATCATCATTATCTATTTATTTTTTTATTATCCCAACCAACAGCAAACATAAAATTCGCCACTTACAGGAGGGAACACAAACATCAAGCGGTTACATAAAGGATTCCATTTTTTTTCGAAGGGGTGTTCCGTTTTGGGAACAATGGCAATTAGTCGGTTATCCAGGTAAGTATTCACGAAATAGACACATAAATATTGTAAACATGAAGCATAAAAAAACAAAAATGTTGTCGTCGTCACAAATATCATTCTGAACTATGTGACAACTGTCAAGTTCAGTTAAGTATTCTTACGTGCGATTTGAGTGCAGCGGTTCAAGTATCCGGATATAGAAATAGCTATGTTACATACTGAACCAAATCCTCCAGCTCCGGCAATTGATGCAACTTTCTCAAATACCAATGTGTATTTTTCAAAGATTTCTTCATAAGTACAATGGGCCGGTAAAACCTAATTCAGTAAGAGAACACCTTTTAATGCACACATGATATTAATATAGTCACTGGCATATCTAGGAAGTGAACAGGGGAAGGGGTGTGCATGCCTCATCTCCCTCCTTATTACTCGCACCTCCACCCAAAAAAATCAAGTAGTTAAAAATCACCTTATTTTGTGAGCTGACGCCCTTTCACCTAATCATCTGGGTCCCACATGACCTTTGCATCCCTCCCCACCCCATCAGCTAATATATACCCAATTAGGTTATGTTATTGTGAAAGAATATTTTAATATAAAATAAGGCACCTGAACAGAAAGTGAGTCATTTTCAACGAAAGAACCGAGGCTGTCGGCTACTCGGACTAGAATTGCAACACTGTAGTTACTTGCAACGGATCCTGCAGGAAATTGAGCGGCACTTGATGTTGACGTATAACCTGAAGAAAAACAATAAGTAACATGTAACATGAGGCGAAAGTCCCCGTTAGCAGAAATGGTCCATAGTGAGCTGTCTAATAGTTGAGAGTGAGCTGTCAAATGGTCCAGAGGAAGCTGTTAGCAGCTCCATAAACTTAACTTTAATTGGTTTTTAAGAATGTCCATTGGGAGTTAACAAAGAGGGTCCTGCCAGCAACATTTAGCCATTGGAATGTAAACAACAATCACTCACTTCATCTCATGGGCTTCAGTGGCAATAAATAATTTAAGAACCCTTCGCTGTTCAACAAACCAGCAGGATGTATAACCCGGGTTTTTTCCAAAAGCCGGGTGCCATGGACCAGTTCTGTTAATGGCCAGAAATGCAGCATGAATGTGATGTCAAACTATATTTTAGTTAAAGGCAACATTGATATATTAAACTGCACCATCAGGATCCAGGAATTCCAAATAGAGGGAGCGTGAGGGGGACATTTTTCACAAATGGATGGTCTAGGCAACCTCAATCTCACCATGGTTGGGGTTGAGGTTCGAAAATTATGATAATGGCACTTCTGGATTGCCGGAAATGGCACTCTCATATTTAAATTTTAATATAGAACAATATAAAGTAAATGACAGCAGCACTTTTGAGACTAACAATTATATAGAATTTATTCTCTAGCTTTCGTCCACACAGTGGACTTCACAGTCTCCTGACAAAAGCTAGAGAATAAATTCTATATTGTTAGTTTCAAAAGTGCTGCTGTCATTTACTTTATATTGTTCTATACTGTATCAGACTAACGCGGCTATACTTTTTAAATTTTAATATAATTTTCTTTTTTTCTTCTTTTTTTAAAATAATTTTGAAATGAATCCTTGAATCTGTAGTCATTGGCACAAAAAGTATGGGCCCTCACTGGCTAAGGCCACGATCGAGCCCCGCTCTTAAGATAATAATAAACATATTTGTCAGGACTATTGGCTCACAATTGACTGAGAAATGTCCTAATAAGAAGGTGTAAAACAACATACGCCCTTGAAATGTTGTACCGTACCCACAGGGCGCTAACGCCTCCTTGTTAAGCCAGTGACCATTTGTTAGGCCAGCACCATTTATTCTACATAATAATACATAATGTGTAAATAGTGAAACACGATAACAATTTTAATGATTGATTCAAGAAAGAACGGAAGAAAGGTAACATTTCATTTTTGACTTGATTTGTAAATCTACACAACATCATGTCCTCTGATATCGCGGCTAAAATCTATGAAATGAACAACATTTATTTGTTTTTCAATAGCATTTTCGATCGACATTGCTGTTCTTAGCCCTGTTTTCAATGGTCAGTTGACATACGCTTCCGAAAGGTCCACAACAACTTTAAAGATGAGTAGAAAATTAGCTGTTATAAGTCTACATTAAAGGCCTGTTTATACTTCAACAATAACGATAATGATAAGAAAGCTAAAAAGCAATTGTTCATACAGAAAATAAAAGAATAAGAAGTTTTTACACTAGAACATTTCGATAACGATTTATTAGAATATGCGATAACAACATATTTCGACAAATCAAATCAGATGACATCATAACCATGCAAAAACATTAAAAATCGTAGTATTAGCAACGATTTTATTGTTTTTCCATGATTATGACATCATCTGATTTGATTTGTTAAAATATTTTGTTATCGTATACACGATAAATATCGAATCGTCCAAGTGTAAAAAATTCTCTTATTTCTTTTATTTTCTATACGAACAATCGCATGAGTTATAAATGTATACATATTGCAGTTGTGTTCTGGAGTAATAATCAATCAATCAATTTATAAGGAGCTAGATTCTATCGAAAGGTTAAACTCTTACCGGAATAGATTAAAGCCCAGTTAGCCTCATCGTTTGACCTCACAGAGAATTGGTAAAGGAGTGGAATGTCATCGTCTTTATAGTTTTCACAACTTATTATAAATTCAGTTGCGGATTCAATACCACTCGTCGGTTCCACCTCACAGTTGCCTTCCACTGGTTTATCATTTGTCTCAAAATCCAACTTGCTGACACCTTGGAAAAATAGAGGTTTAGATCAAACAAAGGAATAATTAGCAATAACAACAACATATGTTGTTGCTATTTAATAGCTGCAGAAACAACAACAAAGACATATTGATAAAGACTTTCTTAATTATAATAATAATTATTATTATTATTATTAATTTCAGTACAAGTATTGATATAATTAGTACTATATATATTATATATTCATTACAAAAATACTAATAATTATAATTCTATTAAATCATTATTTACACTGAATAATGATTATTTTGAAAAACGACAAAGCGCATGCAACGGATCATTTTTAATGACGATAATATATACTTCCAACTAGAACAGTCACTCCATAAAGTGTATACCTCTGCCCTATTCCTGAATACCGAACAATACGCATGTCCATGGGCGCAGATCATGGGGGGGAAAGGAGAGGATACGTTCCCCCACATATTTTTAAGGGAGGTTGGTCCCCCTACTTTTCAGTGGCAATGTGATTTCGTAAGTCAAAAGATGCCTGAAAATTGTTGAAATGAACTGCATAATGAAGCAGGGTTTATAACAAACCCTGTACAGCCAATACATTTTCTTACAACAAGATACCAGTATTTCAGTGCCCACAAATATCTGAATTATCAATACATGACTCGAGTGCACGTGCCTTTATTATAATTTAAGAAGTACAAGGGAAAGAGTGTGTATCACAGACAATTATTAAAGTTTTATTCTCTATGGTGGATCACAGAGATTAATTAGATCTCAATGATTACTGAAAATCCCTGATAAAAGATCATGAGAAATTTGTTGCCACTACATTTTGACTATATTGGTGATGCGATGATAATGAATTTTGCTGTAAGAACATGCACCCGCGAAATGTTTGTTTTCTAGATGCCAAAAATACCATTTTGGTCAATCATTTTTTTCCCTTTTTTTTTCTTTCTTTCGTTTTTATTTCTCTTACTTTTGAAAAGAGGAACCGGCCCCTACTCCCCTCCCCCGCCACCTTAATCCACCCCCTGAACAGTCAGACAGACAATGACAAAATACAAAAAATTACGGAAGTAATTATCATACTCAGATAATGTCTCTTACCTGAGTTTTCAAAATTTGAATTCCTTGACACCTTAAGTTCGATTCTATAAATAGTGTTCTCAATGAAGAATCCAGGTTCAAGTGAAAGATTTGCAACATCTATCCCCGTACTCGCATATGATATCACTCTACTCTCGTCTATTTCGTGATAAAAATTGTTTACATACATAAACAGGCGCCACCTTTAATAGAAAAGACATAGCAAGTAAACGTTAATATTGGTATCAGCGTTCAACTATTTTTAATCAGACCGGATTTGTCCACACGATGAGGGCGCTAATTTGGTGAAATTATCTAAACATAACCCAAGAGACATCAGCAATGAGAATATCCCTATAAAAGACAATATACATTTAATAGGTTGCCAGTGTTTTTGTTTGAAATATCAAACTGGATCCCGGTAAATTGTTGAGGTAGTATTTGCTAGTGACTGTACCAGTGCCAGAAGTAGGCTATCCATCTTCCGTCCTCTAAATTATCAATTTCAAAAATTAATAAGTAGCACATTAAAATAAGTTCTTCCTTTAAAAATAAAAACGGACAACATTAGTATAATTACTATGACATCTGAAGGTGGGAAAGCCTGTATTTTCTGTTCATCTAGCCCCTGGGGTTATTCTGCAAACTTTCTATTTAATCTCATTCTGGTTTATGTAAGATTCGAAATTCAAGATACTTTATTTTTTGTAAATTCATGAAATATAAACAGAAAATTGGAACAGCCAATCGAAGACATTTCTTCAATTATTCAGGTGATTACTATTATGGGATACTTCTTAGGACCTATTCTGTATTTATTGTCAAAATCTTTTATTATTTCCATCTGTTGGTTAAAGTGTGTATATAAGATTTAGTACATCATGTAAGATGCTCCTTTTTTCAGAGTTTTTACTACTTGATTCTGTTACATTATGGCCAACTCAGACAGCGTCGGCCGACGCAGCCCGACCCGATTTATCGTCGGGGACAGTCTTAAGCCTTCTATTACGCGACTGCCCCCGACGCACACCATTGCGTCTGCGTTCAACTCACACAGACCCGACGCAACAACAAATCGCGCCGGGCTGCGTCGTACGACGCTGTCTGAGTTGGCCTTTACTTTAGATTTATTGTAACATACCTGTAATACAAAATAGTACCACGGTTCTCATTGTGTTTAGCCTCTATAGACAACCGATTTGTTGGATTTTTCTTAATTTTACAATTAAGTTTGCAACTGTAAAAGGAAAAAAGTTGTGTTCGAACCAATTAATTACTCATGTTAAATACTGAATATGATAATCTTAAATACTAATATGAAAATAATTAATTGATAACAGTCTGTAGTGCCATAAGATGTGGAGATTTTAGTCACATTTGATTATTATATTTAATATAATTTGCTCTGCTCTCGCATTGAGCACACTTGTCATATGACATGGATTCAGCCAACCACACAAGTTATTATACACAGACACACACACTACAAATACATATATATATATATATATATATATCGCCTTGACAGCGAGAGGTCGCAGGTTCGAGTCCCGCCAGAGGCATTTTATTACACAATTTCTTTATTCATTTATTTACAGGACTACATTCGTTGAGAGCTATGCTACACGATGTATTTATTAAGTCCTTCATTCCAACACTGTATTTACTTTGCAAAATCCCAAATATTGTATATAACCAACTTCTGAGGTATTGTCTATAAAGTCAATATGATAACATGCATCAGTACCCACTTTGCCGAGGTCTAATTTAAACTCTGTTGTCTGTCTCTTATACACATCTAGATGTGTATAAGAGACAGGTATCTGTTTGAATGTTCCATTACGATTGTTCTTCCAGACAGTCAGCCGAATCTCATATTCCATATTCCAATACATTCCAAATGTATTTATGACTACAACTGGCCCAGTTACATTTAACACACCTTTATAATTATGTAAACAATATTGCTTGAGAAAAATTATAGCCTTGTCTTCATAGAAAAAAACTTTAGGTAGTCTATTATTCATTAAAAAAAGTCAAAATATAAATATATATAAATAAGATCAAGATAGCTGTTAAGGTAATCAATATGTATAATGAGGTCAACTCAGTCACCAGTGAAAAAGGACTAGTGTTGTTTTAAACCTTTAGTTTTATTTCTGGTTGTATACTTACCTTTACTTTTTAGCTGCCGCTTATAAAATATGTATTTCTTCTGAGATCCAGCCATTGTTTCCCGCAGCATTGATGTATTTAAGAATTTTATTTTTAATCTTGGTTTGGGACGGTGATTCCCAAGCTTTCATGCCCTGTTAGTTCTAGCTTACCATTATTATTATTACTTCAAATGAATGAAAAACCGGTAAAAAGTTTTACTTACCACCAGGAACATGGCCATTGGCCTCTCCATATCTTCCCAAACAGCCTCCGATGTCTGTAGATTCTTTATAAGGGTTAAATAGAATATTGCTCTTCGAATCAGTAATTAATTCTGTGAACTTATCATTCCAAAATTGAAATGTGGTAACGTCTTCAACTGTACCATTTGACACCTTGTACTTTTTTCGGCGACACTGCCATGTAAAGTTCATACCGCTTTTGTTAGAAATATCTAGATCCGGGTCATATGTTAAATCACTTGCATCTAGGGTTATGATACGATTCCAGGAAATAGTTCGGAATGTTCCGTAATCGATACCAACATGTAGTGGTGTCGGGAGTATACCAAGATTTGTGGAATCTGTGGTAATTAATCCTTCTTCCCCAACCATAGAGACTGTCAATGAAAACATATATGTTCCGTAGAAGAGTGTTTTTGCTGGTATCACTAAGTTACTTAAACCATTTCCTGTGGTTTGAACGTCAGAAGGTATAATTTCCCTTTTGTTATTACCAATTTGGTATATTTTCCACACAAATTCTGCAAGTTGTGTAGATTTACAATCTAGTTGTACCTCCGCTAGGATGAAAATATTAACTGATGCGTAATATTGTCTGGTTTGTGTAGATGTATCGCACATAAAATTGTCAGTACATGCATTTAATTCGGCTACACTAACATTTGGAAAAAAACATGGTAATTTTGTAATAACTTGAGAGAGCGTTTTCTTAAGGTAAGAAGCCTGATTAAACGCTATTAGCTCTATCAGGTATACACCATGGGTCATGAATTTGTTTTCAATAGTTATTTTTACAGATTCACCACTATGTTTCGTTTGCCAAAGTGACTGAGAATTCAGTTCTGTGCATTCATCAGATAAATCACCATAACGATTATTGCAAGCTTTGCAAAATCCCAAATATTGTATATAACCAACTTCTGAGGTATTGTCTATAAAGTCAATATGATAACATGCATCAGTACCCACTTTGCCGAGGTCTAATTTAAACTCTGTTGTTGTGTTCCTTAAACTTGGACCAAACCCTATCAGATTTGTTTCAATTACTGTTTCTTGAACAACCACATCTGTTGTGAACATGACGTAACTAACAGGGTTAGAAACATTGAGTGTTACGGTATATGTATCCGGAGTTGCAAACCATATATAATTACGTTGGGTAGTTGACGCATTCGATTGTCTGTCTGGTTCACACGTCCATGTGTATGTTACGTTACAACCTGTGTTTATCTTACTACTCATTACTAGAGCATGGTCTCGAGGAAGATACAATTTTCCATCATCTTTCGGTATCTCGGAGTCCTCCGACGACCGAAATACATTAACGTTGTTCATAGTCAACACAGTTTTCATACCGCTTATCATCTCCAATACTTCAAAGCTTGTTTCGTAAATTTCGTAGGAGACAAGATTCCAAATGTGAAATTGTAAATGATACAAACCAACTTGATAGAGTGTAATGTTGAACGACGCTACTAATACAATCGTTGTATTGAGGTCGTAGAGCTTACCTGACAGAAACGGGACGCTATTCACTTCAAGCGAATATTGAGCGCCAGTGGGAAAGTTGAAACCAACTGACTGCTCTAACACTATTGGAATATCTGCGCGCAGGGTATCAACGTCTAGCTTGATATAAGGAGGTGTTTTAACTTCGAATCCGTCAACTGGAAATTGAATCATAATTTCGTGGACTCTCGTAACCTGGCCTTCAAGGAGATTACTTGCATTAACAGTTACTTTATATAAACCGTCAGAAATAAATTGGTGGAAAAACATAGTATTATGACCACCCAGAGGAGTGACTTCTGTGCTGCCATCCATGAAATTAATCATATAAGTTATACGTGACCCTGCAGAGACAGATATATTGAAGGCAATGCGTTCATTTACTCTGGCATAATCAACACTTGATATTTCTAGGTTTTCAATGATGTTTTCTGCTTCAAAGGTTTTTCTAAGCTTGACAGAGCTTATCATGTTGTAAATGTTGATATTAACTGAATAGGAGCCCCAGTGGTGGACGTCTATAGAGTGGAGCACCCCATTCGAAATTGGTACAAAATCCAGTTCTTGTGCCATAGTATATTCATTGTTTGAATCAATAAAATCATAACTAGCAGTTGCGTCGGTTGGGAGTTTTCCATGTTTTTTAAAGTGATACGATATATTGAAAATACCATTGTCCAACGAAGTGATCCGGACAACCTCTGTATAGCTCTTAAGTCTTGTTGTCCCTACTGAATTTTGGATAGTAACAATAGTGCTATTAGATGCATAGCTTATTTGATTATAACAGCTAACGTTTATAATATACACTCCTGCAGACTTGTAGGTGTGAATATGATTCGAAGCATTCCCAGTTTTTCTACTCATAAACGTGTAGCCATTGTAAATTACGGAGTCGTCGTCACCGACATCTAGAGAACAGTTCAGATGCGATCCCACAATCATGTCATAAGATATATGAACCTTTTTATTGGTTTCAACAAATGGATCTGCAACAGACACATTTAGGCCAGTAACCTCGTACTGAACGATAAACAATGTTGATAAGGATACAGGATAGCTGATGACATTATCAATAGTAACTATTACAGAAAAGTTCTTAAGTTCTTCCAATGATGTCCAGTTTGGTGTAAACGTAATAGCAAGCGTCTGTGTAAGGAGGTAATCTTCATTTAGATAGGAAGTTAAATTTACTCTGTCCATCTTCACTTCAAATTTTAGATGAGAACCAGATGAAAGAGTGCCTTGTATGACTCCATCGTATCCATATCCAATATACTGTTGAGGCTCTATTTCAAAATCTGAAATTTCCTCAACAAAAGACGCATTTGCCGACACGAGAACGCTGTTGAGCAGATTGAAGTACTCTATGTTGATTTGTACATCTGTAGCATCGGACGATGTCAAATAAATATCACCTGATTCTAAAAAAAAATATACCATGATTTATTTAGTGTTTAAAGATGTAAGACTGAAATAGAATTCCATTTATAAATGATGCTTTTGAAAAGATAGCACATTTTAACTTTAAATTTATCCACATGATATGTCCAACAAAAAACAGAATAAAAGTATGGAATCTATCCACTACAAATTTATGTGATTACTGCAAACTATCTGAAAATGAGGAACACATGTTATTTAAATGAAAGAATATAGAAAATATAGAATCATATTGGGTAAAATTTTATTGTTTGTTAGAAATATGTTTTTCTATGCCAACCTAATTTAGTACAGTGGAGTAAAATTGTACTTGGTATGTTTAACAAATAACTAATGAGGTAATTTCAATATTCACCTTTTGCATTTACAAAAGTAAAATCAAATGCAAGCTTGGACTAGGAAGAAACTGTCAATGGATAATGTTTGAGTTGAAGAACTTGATAAAATTTGAATTTTTAGTCAATAATGATAAAGCAAAAAAATGGTCAAAGATCGAACTTCGTAAGTTGAAATCTACTATTAACAATTAAGTACTATACCCTCGACAAAGGTCATTTGTCTGTGTTTAAATATTTTTATTGATCATTGTGTTTTTTTTATCTTATTGAACAAACGTAGTGCTAAAGAAATAAATAAAACAAATATGGTATAATCATTGGAAGTTAATTTTGAGAGAAAAATGTGGGTATGATGCGTCTCACATACACACAGAGCCAAGATACAGATAATCTTGTAGCTTGCACCGTGTGTGGTCCCTAACCTGATGGTTTTCCATTTTATATCATTATGTGCTAACTCTGTTACAATCTGTTTTATTATTCTATAATCATTTCATAACATCTCTTGGTGAAAAGGGAGGCTTCTATGCCTCCTCTGGGTTGTAGCCTCTCTACCCAACACTGATTCATAAACCTGAACCATATTCAGGTCTTATTGGAGATCAGATTATTTTGATTTAATTTTTTTTAAAACACACTATTATTTTGCACAAACCCTTAAATTGTCTGATAATCATTTTTATGTTGTCTTTTTTTTTTAATAAAGTGTTTGGATAAGGGTAAATATAAGAATAGTGATGATGATGATGATGATGATGATGACTATGTTATGATGACGATGATGATGATGATAATAACATCACCCATTGAGCATAAATTACCTTTGCAGCCATAGAGTACAAATTCAAAATCCTTTGTCCTTTTAGATGTGGAAATCAAATTGAACTGAATAAATCTGGCATCAAACGAAGTATGAAACATCTGAATATCAGGCCCAGAAAGCAAGAAGCTCTGAAATCAAAAAAATATATACAAATACAATTTGCTTTTGCTTAATTTTAATTTTTCTTTTTTAAAAAATATTACGAATGCTTTTACATTGCTTACATACATGATACTAAATTAAAATATGTGAAAGGAAGCGTTAAAAAGTGGAAAAAATGTATGAGATTGGGGTAAATCACTTTTCATTAACATAGTTATCAGATACAACAGAATAGGCAGACCCGTATCCAGGGGGGTTTTCATGGTTCGGGAGAACGCCCCTTTTCTAGCAAACAACTCTCTTTTCTAGCGAAACACCCTCTTTAAATTTCCCAAATAAGTCCTCCAACCCAACTAAAGCACTGCAGACACACCCAGACACAGACATTTTCAAACATATCTGCTTTTATAGCATTATTTAGAACCATAAAGCACAAAAGTCCTCTTGCTTTGGGGGTTTTGCCAACCCCTCCGGAGCTTCAACTGCCATGGACCTCACGCCCAGAAAACCCCCCCCCCCACTTGGAAGAACCTAGCTACGGGCTTGATAGGTATTTAACCTACATGTTGATTTACCTGTCTTTTACCAGCGTTATCATTAAAAGTTTTCCAGTTATATTTGTCATAGCTATATAATCTGTCTCTTATACACATCTAGATGTGTATAAGAGACAGGGATACAGGATAGCTGATGACATTATCAATAGTAACTATTACAGAAAAGTTCTTAAGTCCTTCCAATGATGTCCAGTTTGGCGTAAACGTAATAGCAAGCGTCTGTGTAAGGAGGTAATCTTCATTTAGATAGGAAGTTAAATTTACTCCGTCCATCTTCACTTCAAATTTTAAATGAGAACCAGATGAAAGAGTGCCTTGTATGACTCCATCGTATCCATATCCAATATACTGTTGAGGCTCTATTTCAAAATCTGAAATTTCCTCAACAAAAGACGCATTTGCCGACACGAGAACGCTGTTGAGCAGATTGAAGTACTCTATGTTGATTTGTACATCTGTAGCATCGGACGATGTCAAATAAATATCACCTGATTCTAAAAAAAAATATACCATGATTTATTTAGTGTTTAAAGATGTAAGACTGAAATAGAATTCCATTTATAAATGACACTCTTGAAAAGGTAGCACATTTTAACTTTAAATTTATCCACATGATATGTCCAACGAAAAACAGAATAAAAGTATGGAATCTATCCGCTACAAAAAATTTGAAAATGAGGAACACATATAGAATCATATTGGGTAAAATTTTATTGTTTATTAGAAATGTTTTTCTATGCCAACATAATTAATGCAGTGGAGTAAAATTGTACTTGGTATGTTATATGTAACAAATAACTAATGAGGTAATTTCTATATCCACCTTTTGCATTTACAAAAGTAAAATACAGATAATCAAATTAATAAATGTTCCGTATATACTCAAATGTTCGTCCTTGGCACCTTATGCCAACATTGTCAAAATGACAGATTAATGTTACATAAGAACATGAAATTTTATAAAATTCGTAAATTTTGAATTGCTATAACTTCTCACTTTCTTGGTCAATTTTCACAAATCAAATTGCAGTTTATAGAAGCATTTAACAAGCTCGCGGTAAAAAAAAATCAAATATAACAAACATTGCAAAGTACCCAAAATTAATAAAATAAAAACTAACACCATAAAACGAATGGCACGCATAGACTAATAATTGACGGCTGTACTCGCAACTAGTATCGGTTTGTCGATGCCACAGTAAAGATCAAAGGACTGTACGCACGCGCTATGTTCGAGAGCGGAGATGTGCGTCCTTTTGTTGAATTACCTTGATATTACCTACATGTTGATTTACCTGTCTTTTACCAGCGTTATCATTAAAAGTTTTCCAGTTATATTTGTTATAGCTATATGATATCACGAATGACAAATCAGCATTGCTTCCTAGGATGAGAATTCCAGTAAGAGTATATATATTATCCAGGTCAATAATAGGATAAGGAATGGTTTTGTCCCTCTTCCATGATAACTTCAATTCAGCGTTCGAGATGGTCCTCACTTCATCTTGGCAGACAGGTGGCTCTAGTGACAATGGTTATGATGATACAAAGAAGTGTCATTGTCGTATTGTATAGGGTATATAAACTATTTTACATGAGCACAAAAATACGAAAGTAGAATAAGCATAAACTTAAACTATTAAATAGTTTAAAGTTTATTTATTTATTCATAAATATAAGTGTACTTTTATTTACAAAAGTTTTATCACAAATTAAGCACCTTGGAAACTTAATAGTGAAGAATTACAATGGTGTATTAAATATAGTATAGTAATTTGTTAAATAATAATAACAATAAGCATCTTTAAAGAGTTCTATACAATAAAGTCTCAGAGCGCTAGTTTAAAGTCTTTAATTCTAAAAATTGTATTTATTTTGAACATTTTCTTTCAATAATTTAAGGTTCTCTTTGACCCCTGGAGCTATAAACCACATGCTACTGGTGACCCTTTGACCCCTGGAGCTATAAACCTACATGCTACTGGTGACCAATATCTGTATGCTCAAGAATCAACACTACTACATAAGAATTGTTTCTGCAAACTGTTGTCTCTGCATATTTATTGGCATTTTTGATCTACACATTTAAGGCCTGTATATACTTCAACGATAAGGATAACGATAAAAAAGCTAGAAAGCAATTGTTCATATAGAAAATAAAAGAAGTTTTTACACTAGAACGATTCAATAACGATTTATCAGTATAATTAAAGATCAGTGTCAAATTATTGTAAGTTCACCATTAAATGTTGAGGTAAATGGCTGGAAAAACATTAAGAACACTCTGGTTGATAAGATTAAGTGCAATCTTGATGTGGAAGATTTTTATCTATCATTAAAGTGCATCGACTGTAATAAACATGATATTTGTGACAATATAAAAACCATTTATGTCACAGGAAGCGAGTACAAGACGAGAAAAATAAACCAACACCTGATTATTTCCATCACTGAATAAATGTCATTGGAATTTGAATTTGATGGAAATTGTCATTTTTATTCAATGACGAAAAACAAAGTAATATATAGTAAACTCAAAATATGTAATGGGGCAGACACCCATTGACGTCATAGCTAAACATTTTATAGAATGGGAACATACGGCTGCCCCTAAAGAATAATTATATTATTTATTAATTATATTAGTTCAGCCTGTTAGAGTCAACATACAGTTCACCTGACATCTGATCAATACATAAAATGAAATCATGTACCTAAAAACTAATTAATTAGTAACATTCTGGGTGCAAGAGACTACTATGAATTGTCACCACCCAGACTGAAAAGACGAAGATAATAAACAGGAGCTATGCTTGACTGACCCACACCATGACGAACAAAAATGGTCACGCGAGTGCCTGCTCAAATGGTACAAGAATTACATGGAATGAATGACTAGATCCAAATGTAATCCTTTACGACCCCAGGGCAGACTAAGATCGGCCGGATCAGCTTCTGAATGATAGGTAATACTGTTTTTGCTGTTTTCGTCATTTATCTTTTTTGCTGTTCTGTTTTATGCTTTCTTTGTATGCTGTTATATTTTATCCTGATGTACTCTCTTTTTTGGATTAATTTGAATATGAATATATAATCATGTCAGATTGTGTACATAATCTATTTCTGAAGATGAACTATAGTTCGAAATACTGAATCACAATGTCATGTATCACTTTTTTTTCGGAGTTTGTTTCATACAGTCTTATGTTGTTTTACAGATATAAATGTATTTGTTGATTTAAAATCGGATATTATTCTGGATGCTTGTTAAGTTATACTTTTATTTCTTTATATATTTAATACCTACATTTTCTGCTATTTTCCACACATTTGGAAGAGCTTTACACTCCCTTGATTGAGACTAATTTGGAGTAGCTTCTGATACAGGTTAAGTTTCAATATTAATCGTCACATATATTCATGCAAAATCAGCAAGAACAACAGTTTAATCAAGTAAACTAAAGCAACGCAGAAGTAACAACATTAAATATACAGTAAGACCTACTATAATTATGGTTCAAAGAAGGATAAAGATAGATTATAGAGAAAAGTGAAATATTAAGTAAAAATTCAATTCATGCTTACCGTAACAACCTAGCCATTCAATTGTAAGAGCTGGAAAAGGCGAAGATTCGGTGGGGTATATACGCGCAGATTTAGCCACCACGGCATATTCAAATATTGTTTTTACCTGCCTTATTCGATCAACATTTCCATCAAATATCTATTGAAAATACACTAATGGGTGAATTATAATAATGATAACATTAACGACAACGATGCCGATAAAGATATTAATAATTAAATGATAAAATATAATGATAAGGATAACAAGGAAAATGATGGGTGATGAGAATGATAACGTTGACAATGATGGTGATGATTATATGATGATAATATAATGATAATGGTGATAATTGTAATGGTGGTTGTGATATTAATGATAATAGTGGTGTTAATTTAAAGGTGATAAGAATAAGGATGAAGATGAAAATAAAAATTGAGGATGAGAATGATAAGGATATGAAAATAGTTCATGTCTGAGAATTATCTTATATCTAATACACTCAAATACGTGTTGTATAACCATTGGATTTGTTTAGGCTTACACTTAAAAAACCAATAATTTTCCATATATATCTTAACGTACAATATGTGCGACTATTACAAGTGCAATTGTGGTATATAATACTTACCTTATCGTCGCCATTTTGATCTTTCATAAATGTCCAACTCCGAATGTCAGAACTGAAAGCCACTTTGAATTTGCTTACATAATAGGAATTCACTTGTTCGATTATTGTTATTACGCCAGTAACAACGACCTTTTTACTAAATTCAACCATTAGCCATTGCTCTTTTGTAGAATATGCCCGCCAATCATAACCATTGTTTGGCCGTGCATAAAGAGTAGGGAACCCCGGGTAGAATGATGACGCAGTGATCTTACTGTCTGGTACAGCACCACTTTCTAAACCCAATGGCTCGTGACACAACCTAGAGTCTTTTTAAAATTAAAAAGATAACAGCGTTACAATGTTAAAATCAAATGCGCTTCTTGCATTATTTCGCATTCGTAACATAGAACAAGTGTTCGAATCCAAGTTGTGGTAAATTTTAGAATATATATTATAACTTTTGACATTTTAATTCATTAATTCATTATTATTAATATTGGCTGCTGTTAAGCAGCGTGACGGGCTAAGCGTGCCTCTTGGAGTTGCTTGATGCGCCGATCCTAAATTATTTATTATTTACACTAGCACAGCAGACGGATCGACATTGTAAGCGGCTGAGTGCTTACCCCCAAGTGTTGGTGGGGATATCGCAGGTTTTCAGGTTGAATTTCAGGACATCCTTGTACCTCTTATATTGGCCTCCTCGTCTTCGCTGTCCACCGGTTAGTTATATATCGAAGAGTGCCTTGGGTATTCTGTTACCCTCCATGCGTATGAGGTGACCGGCCCATCGTAGCTAACCCTTGATAAGGAATGCTTCGATTCCCTCGATCTTACAGCTTTCAAGTGCATCTGTGTTGGGCACCATATCCTTCCAGGAGATGCCGCAGATTTTACGAAGGCATTGTAGGTGGAATTGTTCTAGCTTCTTCACATGTCGACGTTACCAAGCCGATGACTCACTGTCGTACTGCTTTGTGCTGTTGTTAGTACAACCGTCTGATAGACACCAATCTTTGTGCTGAGGCGAATTGCATGGTTTGACCACAATCTATGGTGTAGTCTTCCAAAAGTAGTGCTTGCTGTTCCAATTTGTGACGTGATCTCATCCTCTATGCAAGCATTTTGTGAAAGGAGGCCACCTTAGTAGCAAAACCTCTGCACCACATTCAGCTGATTGTCACCTATGTTTATTACTGGTTCATGGGGTAAGCTGCCTGGCTCTGGTTGGAACAAGAATTTTGTTTTTTTAATACTGATGGAGAGGCCATAGCGTTGAGCTCCTCTAGCAAAATCCTTCAGGATGCCCTGTAGGTCATCTTCTGTCTAGGCGATTAATGCACAATCATTTGCAAAGAGTACTGTATATCAGCAATGGCGTCATCAGATATAGACATAGATATAGATCACTATTCGTCATGAGTTTAAAATAGTCTCATGAAAATTATTTTCCTTCACTGCAGGACAAAAACATCAAGAATGAATTTAATACAAGACCACAAACAAAAAATACATCAAGAATATACAATAACAACTAAAAGGATGATGACAAAACTGTGCAACAAGCAAAAATCTTAACTTAACATTGCCCAATAAAATTTTATGTATTCTTCTCAACATTATTATAATTATTATTTTATTATTAATTAAAAAGTCCTTATATTAAAACACTCTCTTTTAATTATATTTAAAGATGTGAATGGCATTTGGAACAAAAGAAACCTGAATCGTGAATTTTTTTATCTTGGTGGTCTAAGCCGGCTCGAGTTATTCTTCGTGAATTCATTGCGCAATGGATGAGAACCACTTTCCATAACTTTATTTAATTTCCTCAATGTATGTTTTTCATAAATGCCATTCACATCATTAACTGCTGAACCAATAATTCTAGAGGCTGTTTTACAGACCCTCCTAATTCTAATCAAGCAATGCAAGATAAAACCAAAGTAAACGGAATAACTGATTCATAGAATAGTTTAAGCATGATATTACTAATTTTAAATCTATTCAGTCTCCTCAACCAATAAAGCGTTTGATTCCCTTTTTTAACAATTTTATCAATATTCTTGTTTAATTTTAACTTATCATCCGAGATATATTTGACTGACGGTTTAAAAGATGGTTAAAATGCTGTGCCCATGATAAGTGCTGGTTCTTTAATCAAGGTCTTTCCTTCTATATCAGAGAGTGGGCACCTCCTCTGGATGATGGCCCATACACAGCCATGAGTTTGCTGAAGAACTTCTTTGTATCTTTTCTATCAGCAGCTGCCTGGAGCTCTCTTGTCCTGCTAGTCCACCGATTGTTCTTTATCTCCCGAAGCTTAGCTTGGGCTATTTGTTTTATCCTGTTGCATCTGACTTACATACTCATGTTAAGTAAGTGAAGTTCATCAAGCAAGGAGCTCACAGATGCATCATTCACATCAAACCAATCCTTGTGGTTTTTCTTAGCAAAGCCAATTGTGTCTGCTGAGACCTGAAAAATCTTGGTGCAGAGATCCTATGCACTGATGATGGTAGCGTATCCTCCACATACTTTCAAACACAAGTAGATATGTCGGTCATTAATTCTTTGAGAAAGTTTGTCAAGGAACTTCAGATGTTGGTTGCGGATTGCAAAGCCGACACCTGACTGTCTCAGCTTATTTGCTGGACAGCCACACCAAAAGAAGTTGTCCAGATCCACGTTCTTCAAGCTACAAGGAATCTGGAAGGCGTGTTTCACAGAGTGCTGTTATGTCAATGTTGTATTGGCTCAAGACTTTACCCACCACCGTTCTAGATTATTAGGATTGTCCTGCTAAATTGGATAATCAGCTAATCACGGTAAACGAGCAGATTTGGATGGAACAAGCTTTTTTTTATGAATCCTTTTCTCTTCCCCTTCCCTTCTGAGGAAAGCAGTGCTATCCCAAGATTTAGCTGCTTTGTCACCCAGGTAGGATACGGATTGAGTCGTCGTTCTAGGTCGACTACAAGGCGACAATCACACCTGAGCCGCCTACGTGGAGATTCATGACTAGAGGCTCCCAGTGGTATCCTCCACCTGCCCCCGTCGTCAATTGTCCCTCGCCATAGGGCTTTAAGAGAGAAAAACCTGCACATCAATAAGGAGCAACATGGTTGTGACTGTAAACCTATTGCACCTCTCTCTTCCTATGGACATCAGTTCCTACAGGTACTTTACCGCATGTAGAAGATGGACACAGGTGCAGCAACTGGCCAGGATCCACAATCGTTGACTGCCCTTCTAGCTGGTTGCAGCAGCTATCGTGGTTCTCCGCCTTCACCGAGCTGAGTTCTGCTATTGACCACATATCCCATTGCTCATCTACCCAAGGGCCTGCTCTATTTTTTGCCGCCGACCAACCCGCCAGTTGCAGAGAAAATACTACTGGTCACTGTGCACTTTTTATAGACGTTAGCTGGGACTTGCTAACCCCACAACTTTGATAATCCGTGTGATGCCTGTCTCTTATACGCATCTAGATGTGTATAAGAGACAGGTTTATCTCAGATATATCAATGAAAATGTCTTGCATTGCATTTTTTATTTTTTTTATTTTGTTTCTTTGTATTCTGTATATCCGGTGATTGTGATGTTGTTGAGTTGATATTTATGTATGTATTTATGTTTGTATGTATGTATTAATGAAAACCAATACCTTTGCATCCTAGAAAGTCGAAGCGTACACAGAGCTGACTTAGAGTAACAACGTGCAGGCGTATAAATCTTGTGAAGATCGCTTCTTCAAGCATTAACCGTTTTTGAGATTTGCTTAAATTCTCTTCCGAAAAGATCTTCAAAAGTAATCAAATTGTGTATTACTTTATATATATTCGTTAAGACAAGATGGTTAATAATTGTATTTGTAATTATATTGATGAGAATATGATACCACAAAACAATCACCACATAAAAAATCATACATAATTTTCACATCTATCAACTATTTCCAGGGTAATTCTTCCATATTTATTCGATACCATGTCTGTATGATAGATTACAGACTAATGATTGAGCACAGTATCTCAATTTAGTCACAATGCGGAGAAAACTCCGAAAACTCCTTGCCTCAGTGGACCTTTCTGGAGTGTCAATCAAACTTAACAACTGACCAATCAGAACAGGGCCAGGAAAACGCGTGTGTATCACAAACACACGTGTTGTCCCACAAACGCAATTGTCTGTTCTGTGGACCTTGGCAAAAATATCTAAGGTGTGGGCTTAACGGAAAGGTCCATTCTATGATACAGCTAGCACGCCCGTAGTAATTCCGATCAGCCTACAACGCTAAAAAAAAAAGCTTACATGGTGGATATTAGGCACCATCAGGCCAATATAATAGATATGCTGGAGGCCAGGCGTCATCAGAAACGCAAGATTGTCACATATATGGGCTTCCGAAAGAGATAAGCTGCCTCTTTGGGCTAATCCTGTAGAAAGAATGCCTCTACTGAGAATGAAGTCTCCTCAAGGGAATCTTTCTGCCTTTAGGCAAAACTCCTTGTTGATTTCCATGAACAGGAATTCAATTTAGCCACTGTGAGAAAGGACCAACCAGGTATAAAAGTCCGAAATTGACCAACCAAAAGGCTTGGGGTCAAGCAAAGAGGCAGCGCACTATTTTAAATAACCGGATGCTTCTTAAAATTTTATGAAGACAAATGTGAGGAATACAAGTGTGATAATACTTTTTATAGTCAATGGCATAACGCCTATGCGCTCTCATGCGGCGGTCCGCAGAGCCCCAACCCCTAGGGGCACCAAAAGGGCCTCTAATAACCACATGATCTTTGATCTAGCACCCTGACCCAAAAGGGCTTTGTTGATAGGCCTACATGTGTTTCTGACATTGACTGTATATTATATTATCATCCAGTGGCGAATTAAAGGGCCCCTAAATTGTTTAATTTTAAAAGTTTGTAAGTGCCACTTCCGGCCATTTAGAGGTGCTGTAATCATAAATTTTCTTACCTCAGCCACAACCATGGTGGGGCTGAGGTAGTATTCACCCTTTATCAGTGAGAGTCTCTCATTGGGCGCTATTAAACATTCCTGGATTCCCCACTCATATCATATACTATATTTTGTCTTTAAGAACATTTAGAATACAATGATCATAATTAAAGACGAGCACATCTAAAATCACACAATGAATTGTCACTCTCAGGAAGCCAAGGCCCCATCGTTACGCCAATGTTTATAGTATATATGCTGACTTACTGACTTACTAAAACAGCAAGACCTCTTTTAAAATCATTGGAATGTAACATACCTTTGTAGTATTGGTCCATGAGATTGCGTCTTGACTGTAACCGAGATAAAACTTTGATAATCCGTGTGATGCATTTCTGTAACTACCCTGAATAATTACGCCAGTAACTGTTGTAAATCTTCTGAAATCTACTTCTATCCAGTTATTGACTACGTCAGTAATATTTGGACACCAACCACCTGGATTTTCCTTATCAGTCTTTGTCAGTCGAGCAAATGATGGTTTAAACATCACATCGCTCTCGGTTGATATCGTAATCTGTTCGTCAGCGATTTCACCATTTTCTATTCCCAACTGATGTAAACAAATTTCACCAGCTGAAAGAAAATGTTGACTATTATTTGTCTTTGACGCTAGGTAGACGAAATTAGTAATAATAATAAACTGAAATTAGTAATAATAAAATTCCACTGATTAATCTCAGATAAGAAAGTATAATACTCCAAGTATTGAAATGCACGCCATCGTGTTGGGATTCAATATTTCGACATTAATTATGTCATCATCAGGAATGAAAAAATTATCCATATTAGCAAGCTTATATGCACTAGTACCAAAAGTGTTTAACTAATCAAAACATTACCTCTAGTAGGTGACATACAGTACCAGTGATTTAAACAAAAGATCAAAGCATTCTTACTCTACTGATCAAAGCTACCTACAAAAACAAAGAAAGCTCCTAACTACAAATTAACAGATAACTATATACCTTTGATAGAAAAATGTAATAACATAACAATTGGGACACTTTCACGAATCAAGTAAACACAAATAACAAAAAATAAGGTGACTGAAATTTTTGCTCTGATAATATTCAGATCAGGTTTTCTGCGGAGGATCGTGAACACAATATAATCAAATATATAAATAATAATAATAAAAGTGTTTGAATAGGAACATGTTGTAATAATTGTAACCAGCATTGCTCATCAACGAAAAGTTCTATAAAAGATGTATGAAAAAAATGTAATCACATTTTAAAATAATTTTTAATAATGGTAAATGAATCCCATTGGGAATAGAAATTAATTTACTTTATCAGCTATCATCTGCAAAATGCAAAGTAATTTTCCTATATTTCCAAAACCTGCCGCCCTAAAATATGTAAATTATTTGGACTGAATTGTTCTAGTCATAAAGTTCAACCAAATACTCATAATTTAACTTTTATTTATGCTCACAAAATATTTTACTCATACTTACATTTGCATCCAAGAAGTTCAAATCTGAGTGCAACTTGTCTGAATTGTTCAACAACAATTACTCGTATAAATCTGGCAATAAGCGGGTTGTCAAAAATGTTCGTCACTGGTGTATGTCCATCCCAATTGGCAATATATTGCTGAATGTAGGAAAACACATAGAGATTATATTTACATGATAAATTATTATTTATAGGGACCCCTCTGGAAATAAATCCTGTGTTGGGATTTAGAGGGTTATCCCAGATATCAACAATGATGACTTGCTTGTTTTCTCTTTTTTGTTTCTCTGTTTATTGTTCCGATTTTGTGATGTTGTTCTGTTGATATCGAATAAATCAAATCAAATCAAATCAAATAGAATAACTATTGTTAATTTTTCATGACAACACTTGCTTTAGATTTTCTATAATAACGAAATGCCGTGAAATATTCTTCTCGGATAAGATCTATAAACCGTAGGCCCAGTGTACACAATGTGGCTCGTGTGCACATAAAAGAATCCAGTACATCTTTCGAGATGAGTAGGGGTTACCCTGGTGTACTGGTTCATACAGCCCCTGTTGTGGACAGACAAGAGTAGCTAGTACCAGTTTACCAGGTAGCTCAAACATGAAGAGACCCTTAGGGGAGAAAAAAGTTACCGTACAAGCTAGTCCGCAGCACTTTGAGACTACGGTATAAAGCGCTATATAAATCGAACTACATTACATTACATTTACTGCTCACGTGATAGGTATGTCACAGTTTGTACGTTTTATATTCGGCTCAATACGTTGACTTTGATTTGTTCTACTGAGTGTATAACATACCCAAGACTATCCCAAAAATTTCACTAAAATGATTTTCTTTTTTTTGTAGTCATGGGCAGTATTTTACATCAAACTAACAGCTTTAACGGCGGTTTCGAAAGAACTTGCATTCTAGTCAGTCACTAAGACACAATGAGAGTAGTTTCAGGTCATACTGTACGCAGCGGCTACCAAGATGATTCCAATTTATTCTTAGTAAATTAATACAAGAGAACTAGGCAGTAAACTTGTAAATAGGATTTTTTTTAAATTAGCATTATGTAATGAAATTATTAAGTGCCTCCATTCTATGTTCCTGTGTTTCTGAAATAGTAGAATCGTTTAAGTAGGCAACCCAAGAGAATTTTGTAAGGCATGAATATTTATTCCATTTTAGGTAGGGTGAAATTAATAGTAGAGATTAACCTGTGACTTGCAGCTTTGCTAGTATGAATTGCTTATTTTTATATATTTTTGCCTGATCAGGTTAATGACGGCCACGTGTCTTCTGAGGAAGTCGGCTACTACCACAGTAACATAATAAACAGCAGAATGTTATGAGTTTGAATTTATTAAATAATCTGTCAGTTTCTTATCATTTGAAAATTATTACTTGAGTTGTTTAGTGATAAGTCCTGAAATTGGGTTGGGCTGATGGCTGCGCGAAGGTGAAGTGGGGCCTCGATAATCAGTTAAGGAGCGCTGATTCGCAAAATAAGGTGACTTTAGGTGATTTTTAACTACTTGACTGTGATTATTGGGGAGGGAGATCGGGGGGGGGAGTAATTTTGGGGGGACGTGCGCCCCCACGTCCCTCCCCCCATAGATACGGGGAATGGCGAATCTTTACCACCAATAATTTGTCACAATGCAGTTGCTTATAAAATCAAAACATAGCTCTTACCTTATGGTTATCAGATTCGAAAATCCAACTGCAACCATCAAGGCTATATGATATAGTGAAATTATCTATCCATCCACTGATTACGGAGTCAACACCTTGAGTTACTATACCCGTGACAACAAACAACGTCTTCAGGTCAACCTATTAAGTGTTTAACAGTACTATTTTAACGAATGATAAAGTAAATAAAACTTGGCCTAAATTTTTTTGTAAAACAGAGAATGTCTTTTGCTTCATTGGCATAAAAATACATAGGTAAACTGTGGTAACACAAAAGAAAACAGGATATTACATAAAGAAGTAAAAGAAGAATGAGGAGGAGGAGGAGGAAGAAAAAATACAAAAACAAAGGCAACAGCATTTTTGCAGTACCAGAAAAAGACAAAAACATGATGTGTACAGAGCACATTTTAACCCGACTAGTCGGGTATTTGCCAATTAGTATATCAAGGTTTATGACGCATTAAACTGTCAATTAAATCCTTGAGTGAGAAATAGCTAGTCCAGCTGCACTACTGTACTACTTTCAGTGACCTTGCTTGCAAAAAAACCTTCTGTGATTAATTTATATAACTATAACTGTAATAAATCTAAAAAATCTAAGGGCCATGTACACCTAATGAAACATATAAACAACGTCCTCAAGTACTTTTCTACCTACCTGGATCCATTGATCACGTTCTGTACTATTTGGAAGCCAAGCACCGATAGGGTTATGAAGCCGCGCCAAGTAAGGATAAAACGTGGCGTTTGTTGACATCAGCGTTGATGATGCCTCAAACTGGGAATCATTTACTGTAATTGAAGACTGCAATCCCAGAGGATTTCGACACAAACCTACGGAAAGAAATTTATCTTTAGACTTAAATATCATTAATTCACCTGACTGTTGTTGTGGTTGTTGGTTATTATTGTTATCACTGACATAATTCATAAAATAATTATAATGATAATGGCGATGATGATGATGATGAAAACAATGTTGTTTTTATTACTGAAATTTACCTTTATTTGATGCAATAACGTTTGAGTAATTTCTCCCGTCTGCCGAAATCTTGTCAAATGATACCGTTTCTCCTGGATTGACAGTAAAGTTAAATCTGTCTTCTGTCCCAATAGCAATGTTTATAATAGGTTTTGTTCCTGTAGACACATAATGTTTAACACATTATTATTGCAAAATCATTAAAATATTATAGGGCTAATTTGAATTATATTATCATTAATATTTTATTATAATACTAATAATAATATTAGACGTTCTCAACAAAAACAACAGTTCTTTTTAAAATTTTCTACGTCGTGTACCGCAAGCATTTAATATATTATTACCTCGCTATGCAAACCTTTATTACAATATTAATTTTTAATGACTTTTCTGCATTTGCAAAAAATACACTGTTATTTTTCTGAGGTTTTTTGGGCTTTTCCCTCACTAGCAGAAGGGTTAATGTTTTGTTATGATTTTGGCTTTTTCCGCATTAGCGGATTGATTGGTTAAAAACCCACCAGATTAATAATCACCAACTTAAACTTATTTTAATACACTGAAGATGGTACGTTACCGTTTAGAGTCCATTTGGCATGTGCAGCTTGACTGATATTCGTTACTGCAATAGGGTATGTGTTAAATTTGGGCTGTGGAGTTGCTTGTTGAAATGTGATATTGGCAATATCTTCTTGAACTTCAAACATAAACTGAAAGATACCATTATTATGCAGATGCTAATACAAGACTCTTTCAACACAGCGACTTAAAAAAGAAGGGAAAAGAGCTTTAGGAGCTCGATGTTTACGGCTCCACCCCCATAATATAAAAAAAAAAGGTTAAACAGTATTTTATCGTAAGTAAATGTCCATGGAATCTTATTTTATAGTATTATTTTAATTCAATTCTAAACAATTGGGAAAGTGGCATATTTTGTGAGAAAGTATCAGACCAGTACTTAAAAGAGTTATCTTCCGACTAAATTTAGAGTTTATCTTAAAAGCGCCTCGAGGTTGTGTCAATGTGAGGTGCTATATAAATCCAAAATTATTATTATTATCATAGTTGTGGTCTGAGTGCCTCTAAAAATTAAAAATAATAAAATTTGATTTAAAATAGTTTAAGTCATTCTTTTCGAGTATAAATAATGTTTATGTTTTTTGGTTTGTTTTTTTTAAAACTTCATAAAAAGTAAGAAATAGCCTATACGTACACTGGTAGATGCTTCGGTGTTATTATTATACGCTCGTAGCGTTATGTTATAGGTTCCCGTAAAAGAGTACCACGAATGTGCCTCTTTATTTCTGGTGACAGTTTCATTGTCATTCTTAAAGTCCCAATCGTAGAACACCTGGTCTTCAACAGATGTTATTATGCAAATATCCCACGGGTCTAAAACACATTCTTCAACTATCGTCATATTGTCGTATGTACTGTTAATACAGTCTCTGGAACAGTATCGCAACTCCATTCCAGGATGATCCAAAACCGATAAAGAAAATACTTCTAAAGTTCTAGCTGCAATTGGAAATATTTCATAATTTGTATTCAATTGTAAACACACATTCGAATATGCTTTGTATTGGTTTTCTATTTTCATAATTAAGTTGGAAGTGTTTCATGTCATGAAAGTTCTTACATTGACATGTTGAAGTTTATCATAAGTATACTGCATTCTTTTAGGTCTGATAGTAAAATAATCGGCCTATAAATGACCAAATATAGAATTAATGTATATGCAAAATGATCAACATATGCATGTGTTGTATGTAAAAATGATTTAATAGTACAACAGGTTCAGATAAAGATTCTTACCAACATTAGTACCATTAATAGTCACATTTCTCACTGGGGGCGCTATTCGCAAGTATTCAAACATTCGAGCACTTGAAACATCATTTAATAAGTTTATTTCGACAGCACAATAGTAACTGGTGTTATCCAAGTTAATATATTTACACCGGTGCTCGACCGCTACCACGCTAGGTCTCACAATTACTGCCCGAATCATGTGACTATTATTAGTAGTAGATACTATTGTGTCTGGATGAATTTCCGATATATATTCACTCTCATCTAATGGAGTTGGCCTGACAAACTCTGGTCCTGCTAATCCTGGGGTCTGAGCAATGACGCCACTCTTGATGTAATGCCAACCTATGATATCGCCTTCAGCCACCTTGAAAGGTCTGTCTAGTCGAAAATAATGTTTTCCACTTTTATTAAAGTAATATATATCTGCATGCACAACATGTAGAGTAACATTAGGCGCGGACGGAAAGTAAACGTCATCTGCAAATGTGTTTTTTCCCGTTGTGCATTTTCTTTTGTAGAAGTTGTAAGATTTCCCACATGTTTTCTTTACTGTGCTCCCGATACTTTCTGTTAAATTGGCGATGTTGTTAATCGGAGGGCGATAAACCTGTCAAATCAAGTACATTTTACTTAGTTTTCTTCGATAATTATAAAAATAACATACATTTTTATCTGACGATTTTTAGTACTGATACTTTTTACTTGCAAAAACGCTCATAGTGAGAGTATACATTCTCCATATTATACATTTTCTATGACAACTTCATGTTTAATGTTGTTTTTCTGTCACTCTTAATAACATAGAATTTTTGCGCACAATTTTGCGTTGCATTTTTAGACTCAAATAATAAATGTTTTACATCTTCTGCTTTACCATAGGAAATTACATGTCAAGTGGCCAAGTGGTAAGCTGGGGCGCCGCTAGCAAGCCTTAACGTATCGACGCTGGTTTGAGCCACTCCTCGCCCAGATTACGGCTGGTAAAACCAAGACTTCTCGAGTAGGGACATAAATGGAAGTCCAGTGTACAAATCTGGCTCGAGTGCACTTAAAAGAACCCATTGAATCTTTCAGAAGAGTAGGGTACCCCGATGCTTTTGTTCATTTCAGCCTCTGTTGTTGTGGAATGAAGTGGACATGAAGTTACTACTGTACTATAATAAGCACCTCTTTACGGCAACTATGTAGTAACAGACCGCGCCTAGGCCTATACGCAATTCAGCACAATGACAATATGAGTTACGGGTTATTCTCTTACCTTTCCATTTACCTTTTACAATTGATTTGCCAACAACTTTCTATTTTAAGAAGTCTCTCTCGTATATTATGGAGACTCTGTAGTCATTTTAAATTAACTTGGTCAAATGTACTCAAGATTTTCTTTTCCAAATTATATTCCAATTAAATATGCTCCCTGTAAATCATTGCTTCAATTTTACAATAATCCCATAGAATGATAATTCCATAGAATGATTATAGGCCTATCAATACACTACACCATTGTTAATGCTGTTTTAAACCATAATAGAGGGTGACCGTTAAAGCTTATCCAGAAAGTCACCTGGTATTCAGTGGTCCACTTAAATAAATGAAATAAAAAGATGCATCCACCAAGCTACATCTCAAATACTGACCTCAAGCATTACATTGCCAGGTGATAGTATGTATAATTCCCAGCCAACTAGGCGTCCCTTCTCCTTTATGATTTCATTGTACTTAATATATCGGGCTTGTGGATATTCCCAAGACAGCTCGAAGTCAGGAGTATTAGCACTCGATCCGTACGTCGCAGTTGGGCAATCTACACACAACAGAATAGCTCTATAATGAAGGCTCTGTCTACACTATCAAATTTTGTGTGACAAAAAGTGTGATATGCCCATATATGGGCATGATGACATCATAGCATGACCATATATAGGCATAGCATTACTATATATGGGCTTGTCACATTTTTTTGTCAAAGTAAATTTGATAGTGTGGATAGAGCTTTAGAAGAAAAGACTACTTTAAATTAGCATTTAAACCATAAAAATAAAATAAGAACTGTACTGCCTTATTACTACTCACAAATGTGCTACACTAAAGCGCAAAACATGAGGTATGGTAAAACTATATATTTGGTAAACAAGGTGTAAGTAATTTTCTTTGAACATTTTAGTCAATTTATTTTTATTATTGTTTATTTTCTTTATACTATGGATATTAAATTCTGAAATAAATAATGAAGGGAATGAATGAATGCAAATTAATAATACAAGAATTGTTTTTAATTTTAAAAAATATTGTAAAAACACAGTGTAGGTTAAACAGAATATTGTACTTATTAATAGTTGAAAAAGAAACCAGAATTGAATGATGTAATGTACATTGTTAAGTTACTGTTATATTTATCTGCTTCTCTCATTCTTTATTTTGAATCATCGTTTTGAAAACCTGTTATTTTGCTTACAAAGAGAAGGATCTCCTTTATCGAAATTACGAAATTATGAAAAAACATCAAGATACAAGAAAGTAGAATTAGACTTTCTACAGAACTGTATAAAAAGTTGGAAGTTTACCCCACATATATTTATACATTTTACTGTTAATAATGGTGGTGGCTTCACCACAAACACAAAAGAAAAAACAAATATCATTGAGGGTGTTGACATATTTTACTATCGAAAACTTTATCTTTAAAACCTTTGTAACGACACTTGTTTTTTTCTTTGTGTTGATTAAAAGGATACACGTCATAATCTCAATTGTGTGATTCTTTTTATAAACTGATTTTCTGAGGTTTACGATGGAAGAGTTGTTCGCAGTTGTGATAAAATTCTGTAGTCTGAAATTTGTTGATGAAAATACTTAAAAATCAGCCACTCCCAAACTCCTCTATTAAGAAAGAATTTATTCTAACACTTACCAATATCAAATGTGGCATAATCACCATCATGAAAATTGATTTTGGCAACGACATCGCTTCCAGTACTTAGTTCAAATCTGCAAGTTATATCCATACCGACAGGCATATCACATTCCAGTGGTGATGAAATCTCAACTGCATATAATACTTTTATTTTCTGAATAAGAGGATAGGTTCTACCACTAACACCTCTAGCTGTAACCGAGACTATGTAGTTACCTGGATATCTGTGTGACAAAAAACATACATTAGACAGATAAATTTATTCGGTGTAAATATCAAGGATAACACAAGATATATTTTCAGTGGGTTCCTTCTGGTGGTGATTGGGTAGTAAACTGGGAGAAACCCTTACTCTTTTCCGAAGAGTGTACTGCGTCCTTTAACCTGTACATGGGCCATAATACACACATGACCAACGGCTCCAAAAGACAGTGCGTTTACGTGGTTTGTCTCATCCCTTCAGATGAATACAAGGAGAGCAGCAATAGGAATTGAACCGGAGACCAAGAGATCTCCACGGTTCAGCGCACACACAGTGGCTACCGCCAGTTTAGCCGACTGAGCTAGGTGATGTCTTCACACTATCTATTTAGTTGTCACAATATATCAGTCTCTGGTTTGTCCACTGACATGATGGTGATGATCACACCGATAAAAAGGGCAAATCACAGATAATTGTGGTACAACACTTGTGAACTTTTGAGTTTTAAAGTAACAGAACTGTGTTTTCACGTGATAATTGCGTGATTCAGTGCAAACATATGCGTGTCTCATAAACATCAGCCTATGCATATCCTAGCCAATCATAAAATACAAACTCAGGATTTTCATCAAAATTATTACCTGCGTGAAGATGTGGGGCTGCCACTATGTGATACTCACGGAAATGCATGCTTTACAGGTGAATCTTTTGATCTTTTCCAGTTGAATCCATCTCCAGTATTAACATCATAATTCATGAAGTAGGTTGTATTAGTGAAATTAACTCCTATAGTATACACAGTGTTGCCAGAAATTGCAGATGCATCTGTACAATTAACACAAAGACAAAGTATTTTACAGTCAATCATAGTTTTTTTTTGTTTTGTTTTTTTTTTTGCTTAAAATATGAATCACATGCACTGTAACCAAAATAAATATGAATACAAAATCAAAACTGAAAATATAAGTAAAATAATGAAGGCAACAATGACGACAGCGACAACGACGGCAACAGTAATGATAACTTTGAATAATTTCATTAGAATTTTGATGTACTGTAGGTATTGTTTGTAGAATTCTTAATTCAAAACCAAGTAAAAGAATACGTACTGCTACATTTCGGTCCACTATCGGTGATTCTTGGTACATATATTTTTACTTGGTTATAAATTAAGAATTCTACAACCAATAATGATAACGATGATACAACATAATATAGATAATCAATAACGATATTAGTACATAACCAACCAAGCAAACAGATTTAATCCACATGCTGAGCATGTTCACCTGATATGTTATGACCTTCTCCCACAAAATCGATGGCTAAATTATATATGATGTGACCTTTGCCGAACATTAGGTAGTAGAAATAATTGTTACATTCCATCGATGTTCCTAAGCAGGTGGTGTTGCAGAGACGATCTTCAACATTGGTTTGAGGCAGGTCTTCACCACATAGGCAGACTTCCATATCACGCAATCCTGTGTACCTTATTAATAAAATACAGAGACAATTAAACTTTTACATTTTAAATACACCAGAAATTTATATTAGAATATTGATCAGAACGAAATTTAGTCCAACGAATGTATGTTTGACATTTTTTTTTTTTTTTTTATAGATAGGAAGTCATGTCAATCACAGGATGAAGATCTCAAGGGTATTTCAAGAGCTCATATTTTTTATATATACACCTTGGACACAAGTGATTGAACTATCTCGGCCATATCCTAAGAATGGATGAAACATGATCTGTCCGTATATATTTCTTTGAGTTATAATCCCCAAAGTTGATCCCGCTTAAGACTGTTTTCCACTAGGCGAATTTATTTACATGAATCAAAGCGTCGGTTCGCTTCTTGTTCTGTTTATGTTTAATGTCTTTCAAAATTATTTTTAAAGAAAATATTGGTCCGCAGTGGCTTTGTAAGGAATTTTTAAAAATAACTGAATTGAGTCTATTTCTAACGGCATTCTTGCAGCTCCAATTGTGTAGTGTCAAATTTAAATGCTTTAATATACAGTTCGCAAAAAGAATGAGTATTAATTATGCACATTCACCACATCATTTCTCAGTGATAGGCTAAATTAGTTGTCTATGCCTTGATATAGACATACACAGTTGAACTACAAGATGGATTATTTCATCGTTGCAAATATATGCCCTTCTTAATGCTTAATTACCAGCCATTCTCCTGACAGTACTGTTGACAATCATCGAATTTGAAAAAGCCAGGGTTGATTGACATATTTCGGCCAACCAGACTATCGCTGTAACAGCCAATGGACTCTGCATGTAAAAACATGGTTACATAAGTAAATATTCTAAACTATGAAATTCAAACGTCATCGGAAATGTATTCATCATCATTATCACCATCATCATAATCATCATTGTCACCTTGATCATCATGTCAAAAAACCATTAATTAAAAAGACAATAAAAAATACTGCATATACAAAATATAAGTAAATTCATGCTGATTGACTCGTGTTTGTGTTCTGATGCGTGTCGGGAAAAGGGCTGATAGAACGTGGTTCAATAAAATCGCTACATTCTAACGCCTACAACCCGACGTTGATTGGTCAGTGTGTCAGGGACAGCTCCCCACTGCAACGATTTCATTACATATCACCGTAGCGATTTTATGGAAACCAGGCTTTAGGTATGAATATTATAGTGGAAAGCCGATGAAGCCGCCTACATATAAATAAATTTCACTGTTCATTCTCCAACAGCGAATAACTCCCGGCCCCTCTTAGATAGGAGTGATGCTCTCATAACTAAGTCTATTTTCAGGCTTTGGAAGGCAGTTTGTTTATCTTGGTAAATTTTTTAATACATATTGATTTACTTTGAAATAATGTTTAGACCTTATGGTTTGTCATGGAAGCTGCACAAGTCCATAATATTCTCATGTCTATCTTTAAAAACAGGACAAGTTTGTTGGATAATAATAAACTAATCAAGCTGCAGAAGAAAAAATACCACCTATAATATATTTTAAATTGCTAGTGAAAAAAGAGCTAAAAAGACTGATTGAGGTAGTTGACAATAGGTTAGCAACATGCCGATTCAGGGTTAGGTCCCGCCTAAAATATTTCGCCACACGATATTAACCTTAACTTTAACATTAGTACCCAACATGCAGCACGATAGCTCCGCCCGTTTGTAAATTACAAATCGAAATATGCATGCGCAAACCCATAACTAACATACATACTTGGAGCACGTAAAATCTTGAAATTAACGTACTCAACTTAACGTACCGATGAATAAATTATGACATCATCGGTTAACGTTAAGGTTAAGGGGCGAACTTTAAAGTTAAGGGGCGAAACTGCCTACCGAATGATATACCTGTATGTATGTGTGAAATACACATGCATAATCATAAACAAAATACGGTTTAGCCTATATAAATGATTAATTGACAAAAAATAAGAAGATAATAAACTACCCCCTTACCAAGCTGACACCAATTACCAGCATATCCATACGCACAAGAGCAAACAAAATTCTCATGAACATCTCCAAGACAGGTACCTCCGTTCAAACACGGATTCATAAAACATGGATCATCTGTGACAGAAATATTAAGATTTTTACAAACTATCAACAATTACTTAGCCTTAATAATCATGTTCAGACCTTTATCTATTATGACGTAGCAATATTCTAATTGATCTATCTTCAGGTGAGTATCTAGCCTCTCTGATATGAGGATCATGCATCCATCGTACTTGTTCAAAAAATGGTATAATATGAAACAGCAATGATGCAATTGCACTCTTAAAACCCCTGACAGTTAATGTATAGCAGTTTATGTTACAGTGTGATTTCCAGAAAGCAGTGGGTCTTGGAAAGAAACGTAACTGAAATTGTTTGTCCTACAAAGTGGTTTTCTGAATTAATTATGGCCTATATGTGTATGATTAATTGAACGAGATAATGAGCTGACTCGAGTATAGAAATAAGGTCATTGAGGATTTTTATAAAGCATAACCAGTTTCGCACTGGAGGGATTGTACCATTTCGGTAACTCAGCTATGTTGGCTGTAGTAGTCAGAATTGATAAGTCTTGTAGCCAGTCTTTGAATCATTTCCAACATTTAGACAAACTTTACTATCTTACCTATCTCACACTTGCTTCCTGTATAGCCCGTCTGTTGACAGTCACAACTGAAGTTGAGATGGATGGCGTCATAAAAACACTCTCCATTATTCAGGCATGGGTTTGGTAAACAAGGAATTTCTTCAAAGCAACAAAAGAATACCATCACCAGATGCAGAAACAAACATTACATGATGTTAATATGTTCTTTGATAATTATTACTATGTTCTGTAAACGGAGCAACAAGAACATGCTTGAGTCCATTGAACGATATAGAACTATTTTTATTCTCTTCTCTACTCCAGAGGGCGCTATGTTAGTTATCGTGAAGTTGATGGATGGCGTCATGTACCACAAACCCTATAATAGGGTCTGTGAATATACTAAAAATACCGAACTTGCTTTACGTTTTGGTTGTTGTGTGTTCTCTAGCGAAATAGAGACATCGGTTACGTACAAATTAATATAGTACAGGACATATTTGTAATTTATATTATAGACATATATGTCTATCTTCACATATAGAATCATAGTAGTGTACAGTGCACCCTCCCATTCGAGATCCCTCTAATTCTAGACATTTTTTTCAAAAGAACTAAATATCAATTTTTTAACACAAACTTAAACCCTCTAATTGGAGTCCAAACCCGTGACCTCCCGAAATATTCAGGTCCCAATTGTGGTCTCGAATTTTGAGGGCGAAAAGTAGGATATGTATAAACCATGACAACCAAAATAGTTTGTGTGGCCTCACGGCTGATAGTGTACTGAATGCTTTATCTCTGAAGACACTAGTACGTAAATTATGGCAGAATGGTACTTACTAATTTCACATTTTGACCCTATATAATCCGTTTGTGAACAGTTGCACGTGGCAATGAAAGCTTCGTCTAACGAACACAGGCCGCCGTGTAAACACGGCTCAAGCAAACACGCATTCTCTGAAAATGTTATATAAAGCAAAATGCGAAGTAAAACTAATAACAAATGAATTTTGAAAGTTAGTTTCTTGATGGCTTCTGGAGACTTCAGGCCTAATCCAAGACCCAGGCGGTATAGAATGGTCTATAATCATAGACCAGTAGTGACGTCACGATTTTAGCCGGCTAATCGTTAAGACCTGGTCTAAGACCGCTTATACTGTAGCAATCTCGAATTGACATGTACCGTATCTCTTACGTAATCTGTATTTCAACACACACTACTTACCTACTTCACATTTATCTCCTAGATAATCTGTATTCGAACAGTCACAGATTGCGTTGCCATCTTCGTCCGTTGAACATACGCCGCCATTTAGACAAGGCTCAGCCACACATTGGCTCTCTAAAATGAACAGCATTTATATATATGCCTATATATAATTATTAAAATAGCTATATAATAATAATGTATAGACTACATCGTTTACTCCCAGCAACTATTTACTGTGTTTTTGCTATTTGTAGGCCTATTCTGAAGTAATAGTGATACTATTTAAAATAATTCATTTACATCCATAAATAAATAAATTATTTATCCATAAATATAAATTACACATAGGCCTATCATAAAATTCCTGTACAATCGTCAATAAAATAAACAAAAAATAATGATGTATTAAATAGTAATTTGCCAAAATTATGAGATCAGTTGCCTAATGTAAAAAAAGATGGTATAATTGATTGGCATAAATAACAGAAATAATATATAGACTCATATCATAGGATTCTGTACAATCGTCATGCATACACATTAGTATTGAATCAAGAAATCGTCCAAGCAGGGGACTAACATTATTACAGTTGCAGTGGTATTTTATCATCAACATCGTCATCGCCATCATCATTATCATCATCATCATCACCGTCGTCGTTGTCATCATCATCATTGTCATCATCATTATCAGCACAATCATCTTCATCTTCATCATATTCTCATGATAGATTATATAGATCCCATATGCAATGTATATACTGTCACAGGCCTAGTAACAGTACAGCTCTGAAGGGACCAGGAGCGTGTGAATGCCGGTTAAAAAAAAAGGGGGAAAAAAACAAACAAAACAACGATACCGTCCCGGGTGAACTTAGCAAAAAAAAAGGAAAAAATGGGGGGGGGGGGGAATTATACAATTTAACGTCTCAATATCTCATGTTAGAGCAAGCGAATGTTCAAATGTTATAGACCCTCTGGTCCTAGCCCGTGGCTTGTGAGGTGCCACTGTGACCAATTTGTTGAACAAAAAATATATTACAGGTATTGTATGCCCATATATTACACAATAGATACATATAAATTATTTAAAAAAAAAAAACAATTAAAAGGAATTACCTGTGACGTCCGACCACAATGGAGCTGCCAGGATTATGAGTGTTGAGGAACAATTTATATAAATTATAAATACATCTAGATACATACATGCATATGATATATAATATATGTTAAGTTTGATTAAAAATTGTGTTACTAGAAGATAGACTCATTGCATCATGTGGCACTCTTTCTACTATATATGTATATATAATATATACTGCTGGCATTTCAATTAAAAATCTGAACTTGCCAGTGATGATTTTATCGTGATACGCTGTTTGCAATAAGACAATGTTTCGTGGTGTAGTGGCTATCACACACAGAAGGTCCCCAGTTCGAGCCCGGGCGAAACCTGTTGATATTTTTATTCCATATAATAAAATTTTAAACTTGTCGATTTTTTCTCCTTATGCAGAGTAATTCCTAAACTCGACAAGACTCCGTGTGGGTGTAGTGGTGATCACGTCTGCTTAACACGCACAAGATCCCCGGTTACATACAGCCCACGCGAAACTTTTCAATAGCTTTTTTATGATAAATATGATAATTTTTTATAATTTATACTCAACCATTTAAGTTAAATTTTTATCAATCTAAACTTGCCAGTGATTTTTCTTTTTATCATGATATATGCTGGTTTAAAGAAGAAAATACGTAACAAGGTTTCGTGGTGTAGTGGTTATCATGTCTGCTTTACACGCAGAATGTCCCCAGTGCAAGCGGGTGAAGACTGTCGATATTTTAATTCGATAAATAAAGTTACATTTTTATAAATTTAAACTTGTCGAAGATTTGGTTTTTTTTCTCATGATACACACTACTTCCTAAACACGCCAAGATTCCGTGGTGTAGTGGTTATCACGTGGTTTGTTTTCTTTTAATCGTGATACAAGAAATTGAAACAAGAAATTACATCAACTTAACGTTTTCACAAGCAGAATGTCCCAGTTCGAGCAAGGGCGAAACCTGTCAATATGTTTGTTCGATAATTAAGTATACATTTTTATAAATTTTAACTTGTCAAAGATTTGTTTTGTGTCATGATACAGACTATTCATACTCCCCGATATTTTTTATTGTCTGACAGACTATTCCGAAACTCGCTAATTCAGTGGAGTGGTTATCACGTCTGTTTCACACGAGAATAAGGTCTCCAGTTTAAGCCCGGGCGAAACCTGTCGACATTTTTATTCGATAATATAAAGGTACATTTTTATAAATTTTAACTTGTCAAAGAATTGGTTTTCTCATGATACAGACTATTTATACTCCTCAATATATTTTTTCATCATACACACTATTTCAAAATCTCGCTAAGGTTCCGTGGTATTGGATATCACGTTTGCCTAATAACACGCAGTAGGTCCACGGTTTGAGGACAGGCAAAACCTTTCAAAATTCTATCTTTTTTATAATGAAGTGACAATATCAAATAATTTATACTCCCCACCACCACCCCCCTACTGCCAAAAATCTGAACTTGCCAGTGATAATTTTATCGTAATATAGGCTGTTTGCAATAAGACACCCAATAACAAGGTTTCGTGGTGTAGTGGTTATCACGTCTGCTTCACACGCAGAAGGTCCCCAGTTCGAGCCCGGGCGAAACCTGTTGATATTTTTATTCCATAATAATATAAATTTAAACTTATCGATTTTTTTTCTCCTTATACAGAGTAATTCCTAAACTCGCCAAGACTCCGTGGGTGTAGTGGTATCACGTCTGCTTAACACGCACAAGATACCCGGTTACATACAGCCCTCGCGAAACGTTTCAATAGCTTTTTATATATAATTAAATGACAATAATTAATAATTTATACTCAACCAATTAAGTTGAATTTGTATTAATCTAAACTTGCCAGTGATTTTTCTTTTTATCATGATATGCTGGTTTAAAGAAAAAAATACGTAACAAGGTTTTGTGGTATAGTGGTTATCACGTCTGCTTTACACGCAGAAGGTCCCCAGTTCGAGCCCGGGCGAAACCTGTTGATATTTTTATTCCATAATAATATAAATTTAAACTTTTCGATTATTTTTTTTTTCTCCTCATAAGGAGTAATTCCTAAACTCGCAAAAACTCCGTGGGTGTGTGGTGATCACGTCTGCTTAACACGCACAACATACCCGGTTACATACAGCCCTCGCGAAACTTTTCAATATTTTTTTAATATAATTAAATGACAATTTTTAATAATTTATACTCAACCAAAATGTTGAATTTGTAATAATCTAAACTTGACAGTCTTTTTTTTTCTTTTCATCATGATATATGCTGGTTTAAAGAAGGTTTCGTGGTGTAGTGGTTATCATGTCTGCATTACACGCAGAAAGTAACCAGTTCGCCCGGGCGATGCCTGTCGATATTTTTATTCGATAAATAAAGTTACATTTTTATATATTTAATCTTGTCGAAGATTTGTTTTTTCTCGAATTGTTCGAGCCTCTGCTTAACCCTTCGATAATATATAAAATAATAAAATACGACGATAAGAGATAAGCTACATTGCCTTCTGTTTATTTGCCATTCAACCGCCTAAAAATCGACGGTTGACTATTTACAGAATAAAAATAATTAATTTAATGGGCCTAATATTGTGCAGGGGAAATAATCAGAGAGAAAAGCAGAATCTCCGGAACCAGACTTATGAACGTCTTCGATGAATTTTAATGGCAACTTGTGCTCATGTTAGAGCAACCAAACAGTGTAATAGACCTTTCCAGAGTGAGTGTCAATCAACTGACCAATCAGAAAAGGAAAAGAAATACGCGCGTGTCCAGCAAACACATGTTTTGTCCCACAAACGCACGCGAGTTCGCGTATGTGTTCACATCGTAGCACGTATTTTTTTGGGATCTTAGCAACAATATCCAAGGGGGTGGGGCTTAGCGAAAAGTCCATTCGGTTGTAGGAGGTTTTGATAAAATAAAAAGAAATTTGAAATGATGAGAAATTTTCCTTTAAACATATTGTACAATACTCACGTGAAGAACCCGACACGACATGAATAGTCAACATAAACATCAATAACAAATGAAAATGCATTCTACTGTATTGAATGAGCATTGGATGAGTTAGGCTGATGCGTCTGGATGTGGCTAAAGGACTGGGGCATCGGTGGGCTTCAAAATGTATGCTTCCAACTGCAATGAAGAACGACATTGATTGTGGTTAATTAATTGTGTGTATATCAAGATTATTATTATTATTATTATTATTATTATTATTATTATTATTATTATTATTATTATTATTATTATTACTATTATTATTATTATTATATTATTATTATTATTATTATTATTATTATTATTATTATTATTATTATTACTATTATTATTATTATTATTATTATTATCATATTATTATTATTATTATTATTATTATTATTGCTATCATTAGTATTAATAGTATTAACAGTATTATCATTATAAATAATCATCGTTTTTATTATTATCATCTTTGTCATTATTAAATTAATATTGTTTCACTTCTTATTACGCTAACATAGGATAAACGTTACTTCGAATAATGAGAGGATGGCCATGTTTCGACATTTTGATCTTTACTAGGAAGGTCACCTTCAGAAATAAGTATAATACAGGTCTCTATTTGAATATTAGTCCGTTTTGTCTCTCGCTAAAAAATAACAATAATAAGTTCATTCCTTTAGAGCCCATTCTGCCAAAAGCCTCAATGCGCTTTACAACAAAGAATAATAATATATTTGACTTAAACTACTTAAACTAATGTATGCGCGCTATCAGCATTAGGTGTCCAGAACAGGGCTCCACCCACCGATATCGAAACAACGTCGATGTCACACTCGGGTACTCTTAGAAAAATCAAGGATGCACAAACATCTGACTGAAAATATTATATTTATGAAAAGAAAAAAAAAATGTTTGAATACACTAGTTATAGCCATTTACACGTCTTCCTCAAATTAAAGGCCCGCCCCTATAATAATAGACAACCTCACATTAAAAACTTTTCTGCGGACCCGGTTGAATGCCTATTATTTTATCATTTGCTGTTCCCTCTGGTTAAAAACACCCTCTAGAGACCAAAGACCATGGTTTTGGAAGAAGCAATTTGACTTTTGGTACCCAATTAAAGACCACTATGAAAATAGTAATGTTAATGATTTTTTTAAATCAAATTTTGTTTTAAGACTTAAAAAATATTAGTCAATGCACATTGTAAGATGATGTATTGTGTGTGTTTTGTGTACATCATTGAACAACGATAATGTAGTAATAGGTTATTATTTTAGTGGAATGTTGGGAAAACAAGCACAGGACTTGATGTCTGGTTACCAGGAAATTCTTTATTAAGAATAAATAACAACATCCGTTTTAAAACAATTAATGTATTGTTTCTTATTTTCGCTCCTAAATAGATAAATCTAAATACCACATTTAGTGCCTGTCTTTAACGATTGGGATTCGATTAGACATCAAAGACCATGGTTTTGGCAGACTAAACTGAACTTTTTCCCTTCAATAAAGACTATTGTAGATATAAATATACCTTTAAAGATTATATATACGCCAAAAAATAATATAAACCGATGTTTTGATACGCATTGCTCCTATTTTAAAGACCACTTTAAGTGCCGATCTTTAATTAGAGAGATTCTAATTTGAGATCTGCTAAAGACCCAAGTTTTATTGTACAATACTGTATACATGCATAACATCTGGGCTACTTACCAACTGATTTGAATCCAAACGCTACAACGTTCTGTAGTCGTCGGAGAATCTCGAAAAATGACACATTTCTTCTAGCCTGGTACTTTAATGCAACCCAATTTACATTATCGAGTTGTAATTACTTTTAAAATAATTTAAGGAGCTAGTAAGTAGTCTATTAAAACATTTTAATTATCATAAATATAATATATTTAGTCAGTGTGTTATTGAATATTCTAACAGCATTACCTGTAACCGAATGGACTATTATCCAAATATATTTTACTCAGGACTGTATTGTCACGCAACAAGCTTCATTACAAACCGATTTAACAAAAGAACGAATAAATGAATTAATTATAGATTAATTTGGTAGGTCCTATTAAATATCAAGCGTTGCGAATAATGTATACAAACTTATAATGTTAAATATGAATTCATTGCATGGCCAATGGTTGTTAATTACCATAAATTGAATGCTCGTAGAGAATATCAAAAGTTCTGAACGTGTATGATAAAATTATTAGTCCGGATAATGAATATTTATTAGTCATTGTCATAATTGCTATCAATTGATAATTTATTTTCAAATTACAATAACGTTAGTCTAGTCACAGCTAACACGATACAAGATAAAAGTAGATAGATAGATAGATAGATAGATAGATAGATAGATAGATAGATAGATAGATAGATAGATAGATAGATGGATGGATGGATGGATGGATGGATGGATGGATGGATGGATAGATAGATAGATAGATAGATAGATAGATAGATAGATAGATAGATAGATAGATAGATAGATAGATAGATAGTAATTATCTTAGTTTAATGAAATATATATTCGCATTGCTTTTTAGACTAAGGAAGTCAGACGCCATGTTTCATTGTGCACCTGTTAATTATGAGCCTGCCAACTACTGCTTGACAGTAGTGGTAGTATTTAAATTGCAGGAGAACGCAGTGGCGGATCCAGGAATAAAAATAGAGGGGCTGGGGAGTACTTTCACAGATGGAGGATCTATACCACCTCAACCCCCCCCCCAACTCCCCCCCCCCCCCCCTTTATGATTATAGCACCTATAGAAATTGCACTCTCAGAATTAAAATTTGAATATAATTTTCTTTATATTTCCAATTATAAAAAAATTTAGCAATTTAGCCCCCCCCCCCCCACAGAATAACTTTTCTGTGGCCCCTTTTGAATTGTTTACCATTCACTGTTCCCTCCAATTCAAGACTCCCTCTATTTAGAGACAAGACCATGGTTTCGGCGGACCCAGGAACATTTTTCTCTCCAATTAAATTATGAAATAAATAGTGATGTTAATAATGCCATTTTCTATTTTTTTTTAAATTGCTATAGGGCTTTAAACCTAAAAATATTAGCCAATGCACATCATAAGATGATATTTTGTGTACTTTGTGTATATTGAGTAACGGTAATGTTAGCTGTGATGTTAGTAATATTTTGATAGAAAGTGCTTGTACAAGCACATGGTTGATGTTTAGATTTCAAAGAAATCCTAATTATGAATTAATAACAGCATGTAGTAACTGTACATCCATTCCAAACCGTTTAATGTATCTTTTCTGAATTTCCCTCTAAAAAGAGAAATTTAAAGAACACATTTAGTGCCGGTCTATTTTAGTACAGTGCCAGCTCCATATTGAATACTGGTTGATGTTTGTATTTTTGTAATTAATGACATGACTCGATGTGTAGGGCGGCCAAGAAATGGTTTATTAGGAATCAGGAACAGCATACAATAATCCATTTTACATTCAAACATAAATGTATCATATGGTTTGGCAGATACAACTAAAAATTGCACTGAAGAATACACTACAATAGTGACTTTAGTGCAGTTATTTTTGAAAAATACAGTAGGTAAATGATGAATATCAAAATAATACACAACATAAGATGATGTTTGTGTGTACACAGTGCTCCATTGAATAGGCCTACTGATAGTTTTAGCAGGCCGAATTGTATTTGAGATTTAGGTAGAACGAGCATTGGACTTGATGTGTGACTATCAAGAAATGGTTTAGGCCTTAATAACAGCATGTAACTGTATAATCCTTTTTAAAACAGTTAAAATAAAACGATCTTACATAGGGCCTACTAGGCCTAGGCCTATAACATTTTTTAAATTTCCCTCTAAATAGTGATATTTAATATCACTTTTAGTGCGGTCTTTTATTGGAGGGATTCTAATTAAAGACCAAAGCTGCGAAAGACCACCAACATCCCGGGCCCAAAAGTGGTCTTTAATTGGAGGGAGACCAAAGATCTTGTTATGGTAGTTATGGTACAGTATAAACATTGGTGGCGTGCTGTGAATTGCGGAGCGCTTCGTTTGAAATGGTGGTTTAAATAACACAAACGCGCAACAGTCAGAAGTATAATGTCTAGGCCTAGCCCAGTTATTTAGTTATATACAGAAGACTTCGGTAAGTAATTTTTTTTCCAAACTTGAAACTCCTTAAACAATATTCGTTTGTTTGTTTGAACAATGAATCAGACTAGCCTAGGCCCAGATACAATTCGGGCTAATTTAAGGCCTAGGCCTTATCTCTCTGGCCTGCTGGGACCGGGACCGGGACCGTCTGGGACCTGGTGGTGGTAACAGCTCCTTGTGAGTAGGGCTAAGCCTAGGCCTATGTATGTCTATCAAAATTATGTCTCCTAGGGCCTAGTCCTAACTTTTGCTCCTAGGCCTCTACTACGGACGTAAATTTTTGCCTAAAAGTCTACAGACGTACGGAAATAGACCTTGGCCTCTAGGCGGAGGGACCTGCTGCTAGAGGCTACAGCCTAGGACTAGCTAGACCTAGCTAGCCTAGGCCTAGACAAGAATACTACTAGACCTAGGCATAGGCCTGGCTGGGCGTAGGGCCTAGACTATGTCTAAATAAAGTCCAAAACAAATGACTTTCCATTAGGATCTTTGGTTACATTGTCCCTACCTAGTCTCTATATAGTCTTGACAACTTGTGTTTGTCAAATTACTGATCAAATTATTGTTAAAGTACTGTAAGAAAAATGGCCTGTAAAGTCTTCATTGAAATTCCACAGCAGCTATTATCCTGTACCTATACAGATAATTTCTGTGGCATCTTTGTTACTGTTGTGCCGTATTTTTATACATTGCGGTCGGTATAATAAACTTACTGTAGTGTAGTAGGCCTATTCTAGGTCAACTTTTGATTTTAAAGCCGATAGTACTGTCTATCAGTATTTAAGGATTTTTGTATTGTTTGTTTTTAGATCTCGGTCAAAATGGAAGAGTCACAATATGGTAAGTAATTGTAGTCCAGTTCTTTTATTTTTGTTTTTATTTTTATATTTTTTTTTTGTACATGAAACTATCACATGATGACTAATTTCACTCACTTTTTTATTTGATTTTATTTACTTTTTCTTTACCCTGGGTCACCTGATCAGTGCAAAAAGCATTGTAATCCTCCAGGATGCAATATACCTATATAATTTGTTTTTATTAATCTATAGTACATGGTTGATTTGAGGAGTTAGCATTCAAGTTTAGAGCTACTGGATAGCTTTTAAATGACACCAAAAACCAGTTCAATAGGTGCTATACACACCTAATGGTCAGTTAAACGCTCAAAGTACCGTTAATTAGCTCAAAATTTGTTAGCATGTGTCTCACTAATTAAGAGGCCTAGAGCAAACATTTTTCATAGCTGATTGTTTCTCATGGCTCCCAACCTCATTCTAAAATGTAAACAAAATCTGAGAGACTAAGGTAAATTTTTGGTTGACATGGAATTATCCCCAGGTAAGTATCCACTCATGCACACTGGATAACTCGGGACATCTTGGAAGATAAAACAGGCCTGGACGACGCCTGCTTTTCTTCCAATATCGGGATGTTTACATAGATTTGCTTTTACTCTACACAAACCTGGTTACAATTTGTTACCATAGTTGCAGTATATGCAAAAATTATGACAGTGTGAAAAGGGAATTATGTCTACATCGTGTGTGTGTGTGTGTGTGTGTGTGTGTACATGCTTGTCTAGTGCAATTCTTAATGCTATGGATTTATTCTGTGTAATTGTAAACACCAAGCATAACCCATGACGTCTAAAAAGACTTATTTCCAATGGGGTCCTTCTGGTGGTGATTATGCGGTACACTGGAAGACTATCCCATACTCTTTTCCGAAGAGTGTACTGTGTTATTTAAACGTGCCCATGGGCACCTTAAAGACAGCACTATCATAACTTTCATTTCATCCCACTAGCTGAAAATACAAGGAGAGCAGGAATGGGAAAGAGATCGCCACGGTTCAGTGCATCCAGTGGCTACCACCTTAGCTGACTGAGCTAAGCTACTCTCAGTATTGGCTTACAATGTTGGATGAATCGTAATAAAATGTTCATCTAACAGCTTGCCAAAATAATAATGGCATAGAATAGAGTGATCAGCCAGCTCTTTGGTTTTGTATAAAATATATATTTTTGCTTTGGTTGTAAAGGAATGATTCACACTTTTTTAGGTTTTGTTGCAATAGCCAATGAACTATTGCTTCGGTTTCAACTGCCAGTTATCACAGATCTCAGGGAATGTACATCAAACATGTTTGTTGCCCTCTATGAGGGCATCCTTGGCGAAAAACACCCACGTAAGTATGTTACTGTGAACATAGTATTCGTAAAAAATGGATTTTAAAAGGAAAGATGTAGACTCTACTAAAAAAAAGAGGCATTCTAGAGCAATAGAATTGTAAGAAAGTTTATGGATTAAAATTGATTCTTTTAAATTATTTTAACACACGAAAGAATATTTTGAGAAAGAAATTAATTTTATTTCATTTACTCACTTGTCCTTGTGATTTCAACATCTAACTAAATCTGATTTGATTATAGCAATTACCATCATTTTAAAAACCTCACTGATTTAGATGAAATTGCCAAATCCTACAGTACAAGGTTTTTGGCACCAGACAATTTGATTTTATGCTGCAAAAAGCGATTGTGAGTGCAAGCTTGGTACAAAAGTAATTTGCATGGCAACGCAAGTGCTACTTGCTTTGTGCGTAGGTGAAGGCCAATATGGTCAGTGAAAATTGAAAAAAACTCACATTGGTTAATTTGGGGGAAAATAAATTCAGTGAAATTCAAGTCTTGAGGTGAGCACAGTCTCTGTGAGTGTTTGGCAGTCTGAGAAATCTTCATTAAAAACAATCCATTGCGCGTAACTTTTCACGTTGAGTTCTCAATCGAATTGCATTAGCGAACGATCAGCTGGCACAACGTGTGCTGAGCTTTAGCATTGTCACATACTCATTGCTTATTACTAAATAATGACTATATAAAAAATTTAAATCTAGATATAGTTTCTGTGAGAAACAAGCAGGATGAAGTGACCAACGTTCAAGTGGTCATCGATAGTCTAGCCCAAGATGTCCTGCATGCTGACTTGTCGCACATCTCAGGACAAGCTATCGTCGAAGGAGATCATGTGACCATTCGTTACTTGCTTGAAATTTTCACGGGATTGTTAGAGTACATTATGGAACAGATAACAAGCGGAGCATCCACGGACGCTGAGGGTAATTAACAGTTTATTATGGTTTTAATATTTTGGCGGAGGGAATACTTCATTTACTCTAATTTTGATTACTGTTAAATACGGTATGAGCTCTCCCTCATGCTGTTATAATAACAAAGATCTTATGATAACAAGATAGCGCTCTTCCGCGGTTTGTGTGTAACAAATTAAAAGCATCCATTTACACAGAAAGTAGAAGAAAGTAATTGTAATTGAGAGAGGGCGTCCTAGTTGTTGTTATGGTTGTTAATTTGCACGTAGATGTCAAAGAAATTTTAATTGTAGGTGAGTACCCTACACTGCTTTGTTAAAGAATTTGTACACAGAAATTGTGGAGAGTGCTATCTTGTTAATTTTCCATATATATTTAGCACCGTTATTTGTGTTTTATTTAAACTCTTGCGAAATAAACCTAATTCAAATTTCATCTAGATCAATAACAGTTTTTTAATGTATGTGCATTTATCAACAAGTAATAAAAGCAAGCCTAGCTCTTTATAAATTTGGTAAAGAATTATTAACAATTACCTTTTATATTCAATACATATTCAAAGTTTTATTTTTATTGATCTTACTAATCATTTATTTTTTTTTCATAAAAATTCAGATGAGCAAAGTGCACACGACCCTGATATTCTAACGCAAGGGACCATCTCAACAATTTCTGATATTCTCCAAGAAGAACTTGGAACAAGGGATCATAGCTATAGAACCAGATCTCGAGATAAGGCTAACACAAGTCAAAGGTGATACAAATAATTAGAAAATGCTACCTCTATTATATCATTACTATGCATATCATTGATTGTTATTTATGATTAATTCGTTGATTTATAATAAGAATACTCAAGATTATTGTTTCTTTGTATTTTTAATAGTCCTTAAAAGAACTTGTCAAGCCAGGTTCGGTCTTAATATTCCAATTCAATGATACATTGTTCATTTTGTTTTAGCTTTCCACTGTTAAATAAGATTTAACAGACGAGACTCTTTTATACTATGTTTAGAGAAGCCGCCACCCACCAATAATGAAGATTTAAAATAAAAATTAAGTTTTATTTTTGGCCAATTAGCGCACCCGTCACCATGAAAAAATGGAAATTTCACAAAAAAAAAGTTTTCTGTATTTCATTACACCTGCTGCTGCCTTGAAATTTCCAAATATAAGACCTGTATATTTCTTTTTAATTATATGGATTTAAAGCATTTAACCTTCGTACTATATAGTTCACATTCACCATTAAAATAAAACATTTAATTGTTTTAATAAAATTTTGTTTTTGTTTTCTTCTCGGTTTGGATGTTTTTGGCAAAAATATTTGCTAAATAAGAAAACAAAACTTCATTTTTTTTCTGCCCTCCTCTGATGATCATTAAACAAAATAAGTTTGCTAACAATGAATGAAAAAGTCTCCCCTAATGACCTAGCTACAACTCCACTTCTTTGATACTGCCATACAGTAATGATTTCCTAATGCTCCAAAAGATACCAGCCCCAAAATTTAGATTATTCAAGAAATGTTAGGCCCAGGCCCCTGCATATCAATGGCCTGTTAAGGTACGCATAAAAGTCTTTGATCTGCGGACTGCGAGTGGTACATGCCTTGATTTCTGAGCTGGCTCAATTTTCAAAGCCCAAAATGCACAGAGAATGCTGGAATGAATATATACACTTTTTTGAGCAATTGTATTGCCTTTTCCTAGCCATTTATTTTCTCATTTTCACAGCTTTTAACTATAAAATTACCTTCGCAGCAATAAAACATTTAATTATTTTAATAAAATTTTGTTGTTGTTTTCTTCTCGGTCTGGACGTTTTTGGCAAAAATATTTGCTAAATAAGACAAGAAAATTTTATTTTTATTTTTTTTCCACCCTCTGAAGATTTAAAAAAAAATAAGTTCGCGAAACAATGAATAAAGAAGTCTCACCTTTTGTATAGCTAAAGTATTGTATAGAAAATTATAATCCAATTGAGCTTTGTGCAAAATAATACTTGTTTTCTTGGATTTCCTTAAAGAAACAGGCAAATTTCTTGAAGTGAAATCCTTGATATTTGAACTAAACGAAAGTTAATAAGAAACACCCCACATCTTAGAAATAACTAAAGAATTGTGTAATAATATTAACAGTAATATTAATGTTAATACAATTTTTATTGCTTTAGATTAAAGCAGAGTGATGTTAGTCTTCCCAGCACAATTTCAAACGTTGAGAGTCATTACGACAGTGTATACAGTGGCAGTGATTCATCGTTTGAGCGCCCTCAACATGTTCATGCTCACAACACAGTCACCATTACCCGACCTCAAGATGCTGGTGCAGGTGAGGAAACAGACAAACAGCATAACATGTTTGGAGGACTGACAACAACAGTATCTGGGCCATCTGGTAGATCTGCTTGGATAACATCAAATACTGTAGGGCTACACTCAAGGGCTGCAGGACCCTCTTCAAGTGCTGCTGGGCCATCCCCAGGGGGTGTAGGGCTACCATCAAGGGCTGTAGAGCCCCCTTCAAGCGTTGCAGGGCCTTCATTGAGTGCTACAGTGTCACACTCGAGGTCTTCATGGTCACCCTCAGGAGCTACAGTGCAAGCCTCATGGGCTGCAGGACAACATTCAAGTGCTGCATTGTCACCTACAAGAGCTACAAATCAACCCTCAAGAGATGTAAGGCCAACCTCAAGGAATGCATGGTCTGTGTCAAAGGTTACAAGGCAATCCTCAAGTGATGCAATTTCATCCTCAGTAACTACAGTGTCACCCCCAAGAAGTGCAAGTACACCTTTAAGGGCCACTCGGTCACCTTCAAGGACTACAGAGCAACCCTCAAGAGACGCAAGATCTGGAACAGCTGAGGAAGACAGTGAAGGAGAGAAGATCAGACAAAGAGTTTTAGAAAATGAGTACATTGAAAAATGCAAAGAAATGCAGAAAATCAAGGCATCAGTACCAAGAAACATCAGCACAGGTGGATGAGATATCATTGAATTGTTTCAATCGATAATAATAGATGTAAACCTGCAAGCTTTCGTCAATGTTATCAACCAGGCTATGTGAGACGATGGGGCATAAAAGCTTTGTGCACCTATGTGACCAACTCCTTCAACCTGAAAGGCCAGGGCATGGGGTGGGGGCACTGGAACGAATCCTGACAGCAAAAGACCTGTCACCAGAGGGCGTTGTTCACACAATGCCCAAAACAACGGATGCTAACTCACATAGCCTGACGAAGTCATGTTGATAACATTGACAAACTGTTTACATCCATTGTGAGCCTTGGGTTTAATTATCGATTAAAACAGTTCTACAATATTCCTACTAATAGTATTATGTTATATATTTGTTAAATTTAAATTGTTATGTATAGATTACCAATTTATTGAAAATATAATTGGGGCCAAGTGATGAAGATGAACACATCAACTGTAGTTTGATTCTAGTAGTAAATTGATGTGTCTGTATTATAGCACTAAACACAACTGAGGTTAAGAAGCAAATCTTGTTTTGTGATTTTTTTATATAATTATTAAAGTAATAAATACATGGTTTTTTAAAATCTTACTAATAATTTTAATGTTATTTTGTAATTGTTTTAGATGATGACTCTACATGTAATGTTGTCAGTAGGAGTACTTACACTGAAAGGAAGTTGAGAAATAAAGGCAATTTACAGGTGGAGGTGAGAGAAATGACCTGTATTATTTTTTTTAAATTTTTTTATTATTTTATTTAGGCACACAACACATGCACCAAGTATTGTCAATAGCGAATATATCACTGTCCTACTTGTAGGTGACAATCCCTTTCACAAGACAAACATACACACACGATGCTTTACACAAACTAAATCTCCATATGAGATTTAGGGAGTGGAGTTGTTTATGTCGTGAGAAAAAATCCTGCAACTGACAGGAATTGAACCCATGACCCTGGGATTGGAAGGCAAACATCTTAACCACTAACAAACTCCACTCTATGAATTAATAGCATGTAAACCAGCTGACCTAGACCTAGATCAATCGTGGGTGTATTTAACTATTTGGTATTTGTGTAGTATAGTAACATCTCAATTCTTTCTAAATTGTTACTAACCTGCATGTTTTTATGACTGAAGTAATAGCCTAGTCGGCTATAAGTTGGCCTAGCTTTTTTTTAAGACCACTGAAAATATGAGGCATGTTGTGGCAAAATGGCTAAGTTGTAGCAAAAATTGAAATTCAAGTTATTAGTTTTTTCAGGTACCTGAGTATGTGATCTTTAAAATGAGGGGTCATTCATTGAAATTGGACATTTCAAGCCTAAGTTATTGGAAAGTGAAATTACAGCACTCTTAGAGTCAAGATAAACATGATTTTGA